AGCTTTATTAATGGACTGAATAAAGGGTGAAATTATATATATATATATATTTTATATAATAGATATTATGATATCTAAATAAGCTCTAAAAGAAACAACAATTATCATTATTAATTATTATATTATATTTTTAAACTTATATCTATTATTGCCTTTCCTTCTGTTTTGTGTTATAACCGTTATTTCTTCAAATTATAATTAATTAATATTGCTAATACATATTTTCCCCTGTAGGTACATACGTACATACCTAAATTAAAAAAAACACACATCCAATTAACCCCAAAGTACTCACAACTTGCTGATATTCTTGACTTAGACTTATTATGTATTAATTAATTACCTGAAAATATTATTTACACGACAACCTAAAAAAATAAAACCACTATTTTATAATTATAAATACTACATAAGGATATATAAGCTTGTTCTCAAAGAAATATTTTCTTATACCCCACATTTAACCAAAATTCATTTACTTTTTATCAAAAAAGAAGGTAAACCTCTCTTAAATACCCATCAATATATAAAATATATCCAAATATATCCAAATAAGGTCATATGCTGTAATATAGTTTTGCATTATCAAAAGACTGTCTTGGTAAGTGTCGGCATTAATTCATTCGAGGTGTCTCTAACTAAACTATTTTTTTTGTTCAAATAACCCTATATTTTCAACTTTAGGGTTTAATTTAAAATTAACACAGCACGAAGGCTTCAGTTTTTGAAAAATTCATAATACTAAAACAATTTTAGGTAAGAAATCTTGATCAATTACATTTTGAGGAGGATAAATATTTTTCCATTTTTTTATTATGTTGGGGTATATAGAATAGCCATAAGCTCTTATTGGATTCAGAACCACTGTTTAAGATATAGAACAATATTTCTTAAGTTTAGAAAGAATTCGGAATAGAGACGGTACCAAAAAGTAAGTTCTACCATTTATTAATTTAACTCTGTATTATCATTTTCCCTATTACAATTATTTTACAATATGTCAAGAGAAATATCTCAAACACCTAATATAGATAACTCCAATAGTCCTTCTACTGTTACAGAAAATGAAGATCCTAAAAAACCACCAAATTATAAAAGAATATCTGATGACGATCTCTACAGACATTCCTCTCAGTATCGTATATGGTCGTTTACAAAAGATAACTTAAGAGAAAGGAGACAACAAACAAATCAAAGAGCTATAGCCCTTATTAATGAAAAATTAGGAAAATTTATTGAAGAGAAAAAAAGTACGCTAACGGAAGATGAATTGCAAACTTTAAGAGCGAAAGCATCTCCGTTATCAATGGAAGAAGAGTTCCAATTAATCAATTTTTATTCTAAGAAAGTTCAAGTGATTGCACAACATTTAAATTTACCAACTGAAGTGATAGCGACATCTATTACTTTCTTTAGAAGATTCTTCCTGGATAATTCTGTTATGGAGTTTGATCCAAAGAATTTAGTACATACAACAATTTTTTTAGCTTGCAAATCTGAAAATTATTTTATCAGTGTGGATTCTTTTGCTAAGAAGGCCAAATCAAATAGAGAGGCTATTTTGAAATACGAATTTAAACTAGTAGAGAGTCTTAAGTTTTCTCTTTTAAATCATCACCCATATAAACCTTTACATGGGTTTTTCTTAGATATCCAGACTATCTTATATGGTAAAGTGGATTTAAAATATATGGGTCAAATATATGATCGTTGTAAGAAGAAGATTACAGATGCCCTACTAACTGATATTGTATATTTGTTTACACCACCCCAAATTACGTTGGCGATTATCTTAATGGAAGATGAACAGCTGATAAGTAGATATTTAGAGATGAAATTCGGGAAGGATATTACCAACAACACTGAAGATGAGAAAAAAGAGGAAAATAAGGATGTGAATGAAACAAAGCCAGGAAAAACTGAAGATAAAACAAAAACACCGAATGATATAGAACTTGATAAACTATTAGTTGTTATAGGACAATGTGTGGATGTCCTCGAAAAGTCAGAATCTGTTACTACAGAAGACGCCAAGAGAGTTGCAGCCAAGAACTATTATTGCCAAAATCCAAGTATACTGCTACAAAAATTGAAGAGGAAATTAGAAGCTAGTGGTGATGATAATGGTAGTGAATCACCAAGTAAGAAACCAAAAGTTGAGCAATAAAACCTCTTAAAACTTTATGGAAACAAAAAAATTGTAAGTGCATTAAAATCATATATATATTGGATATAATATTTACATAGTTATCCACATTAATCATAATTCGGAAGAAAGATGAAAAAAAGCTTGGATCCACCGATAAATAAACTTCTATCTAACGGATCCCCAATAAATTTCTTTTCCGGTTTGTGGAATGTTCGTGTGTGTTTTACTGTCTATGACAACAGAGAGTAATAAGATGCGTTATTATCTAGGCATTAATAAGAGTCGGTATCTTTGGTTTACTACCTCCGATATCTTTACGTTCATCGCTATCTGGACCATCAATCACTTTATTTGTGGAATTTTTAATTTTGTTGATCGATTCACCTCTACAAATCTTTTCCATTTCTTTGGCATCCAATGTCTCGTATTCTATGAGTCCATCTGCCAATCTATGTAATTCAACACTTTTTTTGTTTAATAAGCCTCTGGTTCTATCCTCAGAAGACTTCAGGACTTCAATAATTTCATTATCCGCGACATCTCTAATTTTGTTTGACCAACTATCCCAATTATCAGAAAGATTGACCGGACCGACTGAATCACTCATACCATACTGAGTAATCATGGCTCTTGCTGTAGCAGTGGCACTTTGTAAGTCAGAACCGCATCCACTTGTAGTGTTTTCTTTACCATAAATTATTTCTTCAGCAATCTTACCACCCATACACACATCTAGACGTGCTAAACATTCCTTCTTTGTGGTATCCACTTTATCCATTTCAGGTAATTGGAATGTAATACCCAAGGCTCTACCTCTTGGTAGAATGGTAGCCTTGTATAATGGAGTAGCACCCGCGGTAAACATTGCCATAATTGCATGACCCGCTTCATGGAATGCAGTAGCTTTTCTTGCTGCTTCAGTTAAAACCATAGTCTTTCTCTCAGCACCCATTAGGATCTTGTCTTTTGCCCATTCCAAATGAATCATATTAACAGAGACAGCATCCTTTTGACAAGCGTATACAGCTGCTTGATTCACCAAGTTTGCCAATTCAGCACCAGAAAGACCAGGAGTACCACGTGCAATAAGAGTCGGGTCAACATCATCTGCTAAAGTAATCTTTTCCATGTGATGTTTCAAGATAGAGGCACGACCACGAACATCTGGCAAATCGACATTAACTATCTTATCGAATCTACCTGGTCTTGTCAATGCTTTATCAAGGGATTCAGGAAAGTTAGTAGCACCAATGATAATAATCCCCGAAGTCTGAGAGAACCCATCCAATTCAACCAACAATTGATTCAACGTTTGTTTAGCATAAGCTTGGTCCTTAGGATTACGTTTACCACCGATAGCATCCAATTCATCGATAAAAATAATGGCTGGTGCTCTAGCTCTAGCCTGTGAAAACAAATCTCTAATACGCTTAGCACCCACACCAACATATACTTCATCGAATTCAGAACCTGACATAAAGAAGAAATCAACCCCAGCTTCACCTGCGGTAGCTCTTGCTAACAAAGTCTTACCAGTACCTGGAGGTCCAGTCAATAGTACACCCTTTGGTAATTTCCCACCAAGAGCTTCATATTTTGTTGGATCCTTTAAGAAATCAACGATTTCTTCTAATTCAGCACGAGCTTCATCACAACCTTGAACGTCATCAAATTTAACATTTGTCTTTGCCACATCGACAGATTTATCAGCGACTTCCGAATTTTTCAATAGTGTAGTATTTTCTGTAACATATTTAAACAATTCAGATAAACCATAAGTTAATAAACCGAAGAAGACTAACCATTTCACCCATCTTGAGATTATAGTGAAAGTTGATTCTGAGACAATGACATGTAATGGTTCTTTCTTAGATCCATAGAAAGGATTATACAAAGAAGGCCCTGGACTAGTATGATAATTTGGGTTATTAGTACCAGATGATGCCAAAGAAGGATTAACAGCTCCTGCGGAACTTGCAGTCATTAAAGTTTGTCTCACACCATCTGCTTCTGAATGTCTACCTATTCTTTGTAGAGCCTCCATATATAATTCCATACATTCTGGCGAAGAAGCAATTCCCGGTGTTTCAAATCTAGAGACTACATATTGTGGATAATTTGCCTTTAATAATAATTTATAAAAAATAGCTTGAGCATCTGCACTAGTAATATCATTATTTGCTTGTTGTTCTTGTTTTGCTAGAACTGCATGATTAACAGCATCACTTGTTGCTGTTGTTGCCATAGGATCCTTAGGTAACATAGAAGGTGATGAATTAGTATTATTTTTTTCATTATTATCATTAATCTTCTTATTCTTATCAGAATAATATCTTTTATTAGTAATTAGATTGTTCGATCTATTATACAATAATGTATTAGAAACATTTATATTATTATTTCTTAAATGCAAAAATCTTTTAGATCCATAATTCATTGAACTTTTCATTAACGCCGTCCATCCGGCTCTCCATAATAATTTATTAGTTCCACTATTTAATACAGTCGAAACAACCGTATTTGAAATATTCATGATTGTTTTATTATTATTATTATTATTATTATTATTGTTTTTAATAACGTATCAGAAAATAATAACAACCAAATTGTAGGTGTAAATCAAAACCTTTTAGTATTTGTAAGTATAGCTAAAATACGGTGTTATATATATATATATCTGTGAGTCAGACTGATATAACTTTTAAATGTATCACACAGAATATAGATATATATATATATATCTATACAAAACTTTGTTATAACTCCTTTATTCTTCGAAAATAAAATGATATTAACGATGCCCTAGTTCTTAAAAAATAATAATAATCACACCTTGTGTGTTGATAATATATTGTCTTATTATTATTCTATATATTTATAATTTAATAAAGCCAAAAACCCAGTTTAAAATAGTCTCGGGCTGGGGACAACAAAATATTTAGTATGGGGGCGTTATTATATTCCTCTTCGGCTGTGTGGCAATCAAAGTTTATATACATCATTAGTATTAGTATTATGTATGGTAGCAAAGTGGAACATTTCACTCTACGAATTATTTCGGCTATGAATGTGCGCGATGGATAGGTGACGGTCTCTCATTCTCTCTTACTGTGCTATACATAGTAAAGCATTACACCGTAATAATACTAAAGAACGCTCCGTTGTAAGTAGCCAAGTAGCGGCGAAAACAAATAAAAAAGGGTTTTTTTTGCTTACTGGACAGTAAATAGAGAGGGAGACAGACAGACAGAATAAGGTGCATCAAAATAGTGGTCGCTTTGTACGACGGTGCTGACCTCAATCCTCTTGTAATGTTGTACGGCACAAGCACACACCCATACATACAAATTTAACTCTCTTTCTGGTTAGGGTTTTAGTTGATCAAATAGGGCTTTTACAGGGTAAGAAGCAAAAAACATAAAAAGACGGCGCGAGAGAAAACAGAAAGGACACATAGTAAAAAATCCACACAACTAACTGCCAACGTACGCAGATAGAACGTAGTTTATTTCTGCATTCTTTCACCTTCACCCTTGTCTGTGTAATTCAACTGTTTTTATTTATTTGTTTTTCCCATTATTTGCTATCTTCTTCACGTTTATTTATGTACTATATTTATTATTATGGTGTTTTGACAATATTATAATCAACTGGAAAATATGTAAAATAAACAAATAAAGAAACTTACCACTAATTTGATCAAAAAATAAGAAGATAAGTAAAGATTCAAACAACTAGAATTTTAATTTACAGTATTCTTCCCTTATTACAACATTTATTTGATTAGCCTTCTAATAGATTAAAAGAAAAATATTTCAACAAGATTAAAAATAAAACGTTTGCATACATAGAAAGCCCTTTTTTTTTTAAATTTGCCTTTCCTTCAAAATTTTACTGTATACATATAATTTTTCTTCTTCGTCGACTTATATCTCTATAACTAATTGAAGGAACCTCTCATACACGACAGAATAATATTATTACTATCCAAGTCATCATGAGCCATAATCCAGAAGGTGAAGTGTTTGTCTCGGATGAAATCAGACAACAAGTCTTTCAAAAATTGAATACTAAATTAGACAATCGTGTTTGTTTCGATTGTGGTAATAAAAATCCTACTTGGACTTCTGTTCCATTCGGTGTTATGCTTTGCATTCAATGCTCTGCAGTTCATAGAAACTTAGGTGTTCATATAACATTTGTTAAATCTTCAACCTTAGATAAATGGACAATTAATAATCTAAGAAGATTTAAATTAGGTGGGAATCATAAAGCAAAAGATTTTTTCATGAAAAACAATGGGAAACAATACTTAGATACTTCAAGTGTTGATGCTCATGCTAAATATACAAGTAATGTCGCTAAGAGATATAAAGCTTATCTTGACGAAAAAGCACAGAAGGATGCTGACTTATATCCAAGTGAATTATCGTTAAATGATATGGATGATACTATCAATGATTCTACTTCAGAGGTCTCTTCATTGAATGGTAATAATTCTTCGAATGAAAATAGTGTAGATGATTTCTTCTCTAATTGGCAAAAACCAAAAGCGGTATCTTCTACCAACTCTAGTGGGGTTAATACTCCAAGAGGCTCATCTCCATCTTTAGCAATTAATAATAATCATACAGTTACTGCTAATCAAACTAGATCATCCATCCTAGCATCAAACAGAAAGAAATCCAGTATCTTAGGTGGTAACTCTGGAACCAAGAAAAATTCTATCTTATCTTCCTCAAGAAAGGCTACCAAAATGTCGGCTAAGAGAGTCGATCAAGCAGATGCTGAGGATATATTTGATCAATTTGAAAAAGATGCAGAGATTGAAAAGGAAGAGAAAAAATCAAGACAATTTGCTCCATCAAAACCAATAAAACCATCATTCTCTTCCAACACATATAATTCAAACAGTTTTGGTAGCGACTCGAACAGTATTAATCAAAACAAAGACAAAACTGAAACTTTCTTAGATGAAAGTGATGAAGAGGATGAATACATAGCTCCTACTACCATTGAAGAAGTTCAACCAAAATTTGCTAAACTTGGATTTGGTATGGTTGCCAATGATGCAAGCAAATTGGCTACTGAACAAAAGGAGGCTATCAGAGCTGCATCTGGTCCAAAATACTCAGGTAAAGTGGCTGCAAAATATGGTGGTCAAAAGGCTATTTCTTCCGATCAAATGTTTGGTCGTGCTGGTTATGATGAAGATGCTTCTCGTGAAGCTAAACAAAAGTTAAAAACCTACGATAATGCAACCTCCATCTCTTCTAGCGCATATTTCGGACAAGACCAAGAAGAAGAAGGTTCTAGTAATAATGGTCCTTATGGCTCTCAACAAAGCTTCGGTAGTAATCAAGGTGCTAACAATGAATACATAGACTTCAATGTCGGTGCCGATGATGAATTACAGGTCCTAAAGGATGCTGTCGAGCAAGGTGCTCAAAAGTTAGGTAACTATCTAAGAGATTACCTAAGAAACTGATCATAATAATGACAATAGCTGAATAAATATAAGTTCTCATTTTATTCCCCATTTATTTAAATTGTTGTAGCATATTTCCACATACATACATATATATATATATAAACATAAACAACTTTCTAAAAAATGTCCCATGAAAAAGTGAAATACCTGAAATTGTATATATAGATATTCCATAAATGTAATTATTATGTTACATTTATTTATTTAGCTGTCGTTATTCATTAATGCAACTGAAATAATTGAAAATACTTTCTAAACTTGAAACGTCGGAGTTTTGAAGTGTGTTATAAATATGAAAAGACTATATAACTTGCAAAACCCATACATTTCCTAACATTAATATTAGTATGTAATGCACGGATGTAAATTGTAATTGTTTTTTCATTTTTTTTGGAGACAGAATAATTTATTTTGTTTTTCCATCCAGAACCCGTTTGCGAATAGAAATTTTGTAAGTGGTGTTGAGTAGGAGGATATGTTTTTGTCACAATGGGAAGACCACTGTGGGAATGCGGCCCAGAGGTGACCATTACAGGCAGAGTTAATCCTGTTTGAGGGTGTTTCCTCTGCCTAACTATTGTTATTCCCTGAACGAAACTTCTTTTTCCATTTTTTCCTCCCGACGGAGAATTCTTCTCCTTTGGCTAAACCACTAGATTGTTGCATTGCCCCTTCTATCCCGACTTACTGGAAATTTCATAGCAAGTTAGGTGATACTGATTGGAATTTTCATCATTGTATTGAGATGAGCTTCACCATACCGAAGGAGTCCTTACTGAACTCCACTGTGAGGGAGGGCATACCGGTATAGACATAGTGTATCTAACCACTGCGTAACGTTAAAGTGGCTATCAGATAAAAGTAGGAACATCGTTAAATAAACCTTTAATTTTGTAATTTTATCAGAAGCTAATAAAGATCCAATAAAAATCATCGATAAAAGTATGCATAATAATAACTATAATAGAAAGCAAGGTAATGGAAATGTTTGAGTACGTGTCACGTCCTAGAGAAATCATTAAACAATGAATAGGTTAATACGAGTAATAAATGTTGATATGATTTGTTAAAACTGATTATTAGTAATATCTAGGATATAGGTCGATGAAATATTTGACCTTCCAAGGAATATGATAATAAAGGTTCAAACATGATCGTATAATATAAAAAGAGAATCTAATATGGAATATGACAAATTGAGAACCTATATATCATAACCAATGACTATCAATAAATAACTAAGAGAAAAAGTAATGTTAAAACAACAAAAGTCAGTCATTATGATTCTTATTGTCATGAATTCTCACATTAAGAATAATACCGAAATTAAAACATATGATATCATTAATAGACTTAAATGAAACGAAATTGCACATTTCTTTTCTGTAATGTAAAAGGACACTAGTACACAAAGACATCTCTGCTATGCTTAATATTTCGTATAATTTCTTAATTTTCATTTACTAACAAATATTAATTTTTGAACTATAAGTTATTGTTCATTTAACATTATATTATTATTTATAGATGGCTGCCTCCCTACCACATCCAAAAATCGTTAAGAAGCACTCTAAGAAGTTTAAGAGACATCACTCTGACCGTTACCACAGAGTTGCTGAAAACTGGAGAAAACAAAAGGGTATTGACTCTGTTGTTAGAAGAAGATTCAGAGGTAATATTGATGAACCAACCATCGGTTACGGTTCCAACAAGAAGACCAAGTTCTTGTCCCCATCCGGTCACAAGGTCTTCTTGGTTGCCAACATCAAGGATCTAGAAACTTTGATGATGCACACTAAGACTTATGCTGCTGAAATTGCTCACAACGTTTCTTCCAAGAACAGAGTAGGTATTCTAGCCAGAGCTAAGGCCTTAGGTGTCAAGGTTACCAATCCAAAGGGTCGTCTAGCTTTGGAAGCTTAAGAGCTCTACTTTTATGTGTTTAGTTTTATAATTCAACAAAAAGGAATATCTATCTCTATATATGTATCTAATAAAATCTCTTTAATCTTTAAAAACCAATGAAAAGTTCGTACTAATACAAGTATATAGCCATTTAAGTGTCATGAGATCTATTATATATGATATATATATTTGTACAAATTGTCTTTGGAAGAATCTGTTATTCCTTGTTCAACTTCAAATTAAACACGGTAACAATAATATTAACGATTTAAATGATAGAAATACAATTACTATCACAAAATACCCAAATTGATATAAAAAAACAAAGAGTTATAAAACGTTTGAAGTCAGATCAATCTTAGTATTCTTCTTCTTCTTCTTCTTCTTCTTCTTCTTCTTCTTCTTCTTCTTCTTCTTCTTCTTCTTAATATTATTTTTATTATTTATCATTGATAATATCTGCACCTTAAGTATCTTTTATGTTCTAATTTGATTTTAATTTTTAGTTTAATTAATGGATGTAAGAAATGAATACGAAACAAATGAATATGTTAGCATGAATGGAATCGATGGTATTTCCATAATTAATAATAGAACCAACGAATAACAAAGGCAAGCAACACAACCCCCAAAAGTAGCTTTAGGTTTAATGTACTATTGGACTTCACTTCAGAAGGTATATTGTCTTGTACCTTTGTAACTGGGTTAATTTCTTCAACTTCGGGTTCCTTAACTTCTTTTTGAACTTGTGGTCCTTCTCTTTCTGATTTCAAATTTTCAACATTTGATTCTTGTACTTGTGCAATTTCTTCCTCATCCTCTTCTTTTGGTGTTCCTTCTTGTTCTTGTTCTTCGATTAAATATTTTACTTTAATTTTTTTAGAGATAGCTTCTTTACTATGAGCAACCTCTAATTGAGACCAAGATGTAGAAACGTCTTTAACTTCCAAATCTTCTGGCGCAGGTAAAGTTATAACCAAAAACTTATCTCTACAATTGTAATCAGCAGAAGGTTCTTCAGCTAAACCTAAAAATATGACTTGAACTTCCACCGATTCACCTGGTGCAACCACTGCCGCATTTGGCCTTACACAATAAAATTTTGGAGCTGTTGTCTTCACTTTAAATGCTATATTATGAGGAGCATTATTTACAATTGTCATATATTCAATAGATTGTTCCGTTAGGGGAGCTATGATAAACAATTAACCGTATGTTTGTATAATCTATACAAAGCCATTCATAAATAAATATTAATATTCTCATTAGAGAACTTAATATACAAGACCGGCTTTGTCTTCAATTATTAAATAACATAAAATAATGTTAGTATTAAAATTGCTAGTTTAGATTACAATAGAATTGTATAATATAATATTCTCTATGAAATGAATCGAACTATGGGTCGTTGTAATCATAAAAAAATAGATAAAACAAAATAAAAATATTCAAAATAACGTACGTTTAAATTCTAGAACATCTGGATTAATTTCTACTAAGGACATCGTGTGCTTTTGTTAGGTGTGTGTAAATACAATATATTCTCTCTGTGTATAATGCAAATAATTAAATTCAGATAAACCTTTAAATATATATCTATATATATAGGCAAAAGACGGTGTTTGAATATGCTTTGTTAATCTAGTAGTAGTAATAATACTGATCTTGTCCTTTAGATGCACATGTCTGTGGAGAGAATATCATCACCATCACCCTCATCATAATAATAATAACAATAACAATAACATTATGTCGAATCGGACCACCCAAAGAGACCGTCTTTCCCTTTTGGGGGAACGACGAAACCCGTTTCCTGTGCCAAAATCAAAATTATTCATGCAAACGGAATCTGACAGCGACAAAAGAACAGCATGAATCCAAGTCAGATATATCATATTGTACGATATGCATTCGTGGATTGTGACAGAAAATGGGCTATTGACTCTCTTCAACAGCTTGTATTACGAGAGTCATCACTACTCTAGTAGATGGAAGTAGTAATAGTTTATATATTTCTATTGAACACTCGTTGAAATATGCCTGTGGTCATTAAGTTCTTATCTATACAAGTATATACATTTACCTTCCCAATAATGCTCTGCAGAAGGCAGATATGTTGATTAATAATCATCGCCCCTCGACACAATCTCTTTCTTGTTTGGGTGTAACAAGATAGTGTGTTCATATTGAGCAGTGTACGAACCTGGGATATCAACTAACGGTGGGTAATCCTGGACGTAACCTTGTTTCACTAGATAGTTCAACGCATATTCGTGCTCATCTTCACCAATCTTGTCTAAGTAACGACGACAGAATGGTAAAGTACCAAAACTTTTATTAATTGTCTCTAATAGTTTGTTAGCACTTGGTAAAGAAGGAGCATCATAGTCATAATCTTGAACAGCATAATGAGAACATTCACCTTCAGTGGTAACATAACCACTCCCTGTAGAACCAAAAGTTTCAATGGCAAAATGTTCACCTTCTTCCATCTTAGTGATATCACCATTCTTAACAATTGGTACAGATTTACCACCATGAATTCTCCAAGGACCAATGTTATGTCCACATAGGTTTCTACATGGTTTGACACCATATGTGTCACCATTTATTTCTACTTCATATGATTCCATGACTTCTTGAATAGCTTCACCAATGTCCGTCAATCTAACATCAATACCCGCCTCTTTTATACCGGTATTAGTAGCTTCACGTACGGCAGTTAATAAATTATCATATTGTGGATCAAATGAAACTGTCCATGCAGAGTCAATAATATTACCATTAACTTGAACACCAAAATCTACTTTCATAACATCTTCGTATCTCAAAATAGTTTTATCACCTTTGTTAGGGGTGAAATGAGCTGCAATATCATTAATAGAAAGACCTGTTGGAAACCCAATACCTCTACTTGTAGGATCATCCATTTTTGTCAAATCTTCAGCATCTGTATATTTTCTTGTAGTGTTTTCTATAAGATCTGCAATCTCAGTCAATCTCATCCCAGGATGAATTTTACCTTCCACATTCTTTCTTACTCTACGATGAATCTCAGCTGCTTTTCTGACTTCATTCCAATGGTCTTGGTTCTCTAAATCTCTCGTCAGGTACCTTTTCTCCTCATCGGTGGTACGAGCCAAATTAAAATCTTGGTCATAATTCATCCATTCACCTTCTGGGTATACACCGTCTGGGAAATAGTTTTCAATCTTACTAATATTAGTTCTCTTCTTCTTTTTCTTCTTTTTCTTATCGGTAGATTTCGAGGTATCAACAGGTGTAGTTCCGCTAGTATTAGCTACTTTAACGGCTTCACTGTTTGATACTGGAGTTTGGCCGACCTTTTTAACCTCAGTTGCTTCGGACATCAATGTTGTTTGGTTCTAATTAAGGATGTATAAGACTACTAATAAAAATAAGTTAATAATTAAATAACTATAAGACACCGGCTCAACAATGTATATTTGCTTTCTTTCTTAATTGAGTTGATTTGTAACAATCAGTATTTGATAATAGTGTTGCAACTTAATTTAATTAGTATGGGATGAATAATACAATATCGTTCTATTAAAAAAAACAACCTTTTCTATGATGTTTTTTTTTTATTACTGTCAATTCGGAAAAATGAATAGCTCTTAGGTGCAATTTAGGTGAAAACGCAAAAACAACAGAATGGAGGAGTTATACACGTATCAAAAGAAAGTTGATTAAGAGTCAATAGAGTTTACATACTTTGGATATACCACACGATAGAGGATAACTACATATTACTGTCAAATAGCGTTGAATATATTTTCTGGAAGAAAATTTATTGATTATCGAGTTTTGCATCTAATCGAACAGTGTCCCAAGTTATATATTCATTTCGTAGATTTATTTTGAAGTATTGAAGCGCTGTAAATTTAATAATGCTAAGGAGTATAGGTGGTTTTATAACTCAGACTAATAGGTCTATTGTTACTATGACTGCAAGATCATTTGTTAGTTTTGCTAAAGCTCAGCAGATACAATATCCCTTTAACAATAATAATGCGCAAGATATCTTAAGATCTTTTCCAAACGACCAAAAAAATAAATCAGATGTTGGATTGAACATCTCATTTAATGCAATGAAGCAAGCCAATACGACGAATAACCTTGATCGTGATTCCTCTATTATCCTTCCTGAACAAATTAGAGAAGAGGCAGCATCATTAAAGAATTTTTCAATTAAGACAGGTAGAACGGTCCTTGTCAATAATTCAGATACAGCAAGTGCTTGCAGAAGACTTAATGGTCTTGTATTTGCTAATCAAATTGCAATAGATCGTAGGAAACAACGATTCCATATGAAACCAGGTAAAAAAGCTGAGATGAAGAGATCGCAACGTCATAGAAAGGATTTCATGAAGGGTTTCAAGCGTTTGATGGAAGTAGTTAAAGATGCAAAGAGAAAGGGTTACTAGTTTAATACTGAAGTACTAACCCTACATTTGCTTTAAGAACCATATATATTCCAACAGAATTGTGCACATACATAATTATGATATAACGTAAACATGTAAATAATTTTCGTATAATATCTATCTTTTTCATAATTTTACAAAATAATACTTTTAATAAGATAACTTATTGCACCATACTCATCAACTAAGCTCTAGGAAATTTGATAGTTTGTAAAATCATTTACAATAAGATTACAATAAATGGAATATTCAAGTTCACGAACAATGATATTATTTATTTTACTGAATTTCTAATAACATTGGTATATATCGAGGGTGTTGTATTATCGACATTAAAACGACAGATGACCACCAGGATATCATAAAGTATTGATACCATGCACTTAATATGTAAATCAAACTGTTGGTGTTAATTACAAAGAGACTCGATACCAAAATATTCAGTATTTGGATTATCCACCAGTTGTTTGGTCAAATCACGAAACTGAATATCTGCGAATATGAATGATCACGGTTCAATCCTCTCTACTGTTCTGTAATACGTTTATCTTACCCTCGCCCAGAAAAGGATGCAAGCGGGTTATAAACTCCGGAAGGGGATGGTTGGTGAGACAGGAAAATATATGATGATCACTTAATAATCGATGACCTCCTCATCTATACCCCTTGCCAAGTTTGTAAATACAATGTTAAACATATTATGCTTCTTGATTAATTATTCATTTCAATATATCAAACTTGTCAATGCTTTTTCTCTAAGGGGGCCTGAGCTGTCATTTCAAAATTTCCTACTGTTTTCCTTTTCATTTAATAAATAATCTATATTTAACTCGTAAATCAGGTTTGTATTTTATAAGGGAGTAATGTAGTAAGGTTACCGTTAGGGATCAAAGAACTATTACATCTCAGATATATATATATAAACTGTCATTTTAATTACTGAATAAGAGAATACTGATTTGTTATTTAAATACAGTATTATCGTGTTATATCAGAAACATTTAAGAGTAATCTCATGTATACTCGGGTTATTCATCAATGCTTATTATAAAACATATCTACTCCAAAATATAGTTATGTTGTATTACTGTAGAGTTAGTTCTACCGTTAAAGATGGAGTTGCTAGACTTATGAATACATTGTGTTCTGCAGGGTTATTGGCTATTCCATATATTTATCGACCTTTTGGTCTAGTTACAGGTATTTGTATGACTTTTTTTGTTTCGTTATTAGCATTGATAGGATTGTTAGTACAAGCACAAGTTATACGTTATGTTTCATTACGTTATGCTTCTTTTTTCTCTTTAGCACAGATTACAAGTCCAAAACTAGGTATAATATTTGATTTTGCAATTGCGTCACGCTGTTTCTGTAGTTGTGTTATTCATCTTTTGGTCATACGTGATCTATTACCTGTACCTTTTACATCCAATAGTGAGTCAATGACTGAGTTTCTTTTAAGTCCCCGTATACAATTAACTTTTATTACAGTGATTGTGATTATCCCATTTTGTTTCTCCAGGAATGTTTGTGTTACTAAACATTTAATGAGACTGAGTATTATGGTGCTTGTATATTTTGGATGTGTCATAACAATATTATTTTGGATGAAACCTGGTGATTTAAAAGATTACAGAGGTAAAATATCTATTGGAATACCACATAATATTAATGATGATGACAATGACGATGACGATGATTCAAATATGTTAAAATCGATGGCTTTATTGATATTTGTATTCAATAGTCATCATCATATGTTTGCTATGATAAATGAACAAGAGGAAATAAGATTTTGTGAAGTGAAAAAAATAGCTATGATAGTAAGTTCTATTCAATTTTTCATTGCATTATTTATCGGCGTCGTAGGCTATTTGACGTTTGGCAATAATGTTTCTGAGAACATTTTATGCTTATACCCAGCATTATGGTCCGTATCTATTTTAAAATTTTTTTATATTATTTTAATGATAAGTTGTTTCCTATTCCAGTGTTATCCATTGAGAGCATCATTAAACCGAATAATAAATTGGATTCAAAATCGTTTTTATAATAAGGCTGTAGGAGATACCTTTAATGACCAATCAAGAAATAGTGATGCATCAGCTATCACGATGGTGTACGATCAAACTACACCTTTACTTACTTGTGAGGGACATACTATTCCAATTGAAGAATTAGTAGAGGAAGGTTCCAACAAACAATTGGTAATTATGCCAATGACAGAACGTAATTTCAAAATATATAGTAGTGCTATACTTATATGTGCATATCTTATAGCAATGACCAAGATCACAATGATAAGTGTGTTAGTATTTGTTGGGTCAACAAGTTCGGCAGTGATATCATATATTCTACCGGGAATATTTGCATATCAATTAATTGGAATTGAATATGAATCCTTCTGTACAAAACGACCATTCATAACTTCGTTTTTCAAATATGCTGGACTTTGTTTAGCAATATTTGGGATATTTGTGCTAATGTTATACACAATATTTATCCTTCCACATGAAATATTCTGAAAAGGATGTATACTAAGTGTGGGGTGACCCACAAAAGTTCGCTGATATAGGAATATATTATATGTTAGTCAATCAAAGTATGGATATATTTTAACAGAACACATATGAAGTGAAATAGCAGGACATAGCATCCAATACGCTAATATCTCGCTCTTCTGTGAAAGATGCAATTTTCCCCCTTCTACCTATATAACATATATATAACCACCTTTAATAACTAATATTCTATTATGCCAACCAATATCGTAAGCTGTTAGAGATACTAAAGCAAAGTACGACACAGAGTTCTATATTATACCTAATTCATGATGACCATCTTATCATGCACATTGCTCTCTCTCTCTCTCTCTCTCTTGACCATATTAGAACGCAAGGGCCAGACCTCTTCAGATCTGCCAGTTCCTTATACGTCAGTTTTGCTTCATTTGTTCAAAATGACTAGATTTTGCTTTTCAGTTCTACTGAGTTTTCTTCACGAAGGGCAGACGATGATCCGCCAAGTAACAAAATAATTTTTTTACGTATACGTATCCCGTAATAATAGATGGACAGAGACGCCAAATGTAAAACATCGATTAGGCGAATGGGGTCACCATAGTAGCAGAGCATAGAGTTAGGACATCTAGTGGAAGAAACCTCAGGTTATGGTTTTTAGAATGTTCTGCTAATGGCTTCCACAGGGTGAGTTTCTTATTGAGTGAAAAGATTTTGGTATCAAAAATTTATATATATATACGGAGATATATAAAATCACTATAATAAATCAGTTTGAGAGCTAAACTATTTTACATAGCTTTTACTCTTCATTCGCAAAACAAAAAGTAGTGGAAAGTTTGGTATTGAATAATAACAATAATTACCAGTATCCTTTATTACACCCAGTACCCCTGAATACTTGGGTATCAGTAAAGAGTACCACTTGTCATTTCATTTATAAAAACTATAAAAGGCCAACAATAGTTACTTCTAAAAATAATATTCACCCAACAAATGACATTCAACGGGAATGATCTAAGGACTCGTAGAATGAGAACAACAACTAACCATAGTCTCGATCTAAGAAATTTGTTCGGGGACCCATTTGCTATATCTACAATATCTATCGCTATCATATCATGGGTCATTGCGATTGTGGGCTCTATTGCAGCAGCATCTACAAATGAAACTTTTCCAAGGTTTACTTGGTGGGGTATTGCCTACCAATTTCTGCTACTAATCATTTTGATTTTGTTATATTCATTTAATACTGTAGAGTATTATAAGAATTTTTTGACAGGTGCATTTTCAGTAGCATTTGTATATAATACTAATAGTGCTACAAATCTAGTATATGCAACTGGATCTAAAAAGGCTGCGGCTGCCGCAGGGGTTATCTTATTATCAGTGATTAATTTGATTTGGATCTTTTATTACGGTGGCGATAATGCGTCACCAACTAATAGATGGATCGATTCTTTCTCTCTAAAGGGTATTAAAGTATCTGCCTATGAAAATACTATAATGAGAACACGTCGTCGTACTAGTAGAAATGCGGTCAACAATAGACGTACCAGTAGATTCATGCCAACAAGTCCAGGCTTTAATAACGTTAAGCACGAAAATTATATGTCTTCAAATGCATTGACTGGGTTTGAAAATGCTGACCCTTCAATCACACAGATGAATGGCTCACATACAAACATAGAGATGGATACAGGGTTAAGTGATCAACCTGTCTTATCGACCGGTTCTAATAATAATACAGAGAATACTTTTTTGTCTGTAACATCAAATGGTTCCGTGTCAGATGCCACAATGGGGGATACTTTAGGTCTCTATAGTGACATTGGCGATGATAATTTCAAATACACCGCAAGAACTTTATATTCATATCAGGCAGATGATGAAGATCAATACGAAATATCATTTGAACAAGGCGAAATATTGAAAGTTAGTGATATCGAAGGTAGATGGTGGAAAGCAAGAAGAGCTAATGGAGAAACTGGTATTATCCCAAGTAATTATGTTCAATTAATTGACGATGATGCTGATTTTTAAGAACAATTCAAACAGGTAAATATTTATAGCAAAATTTGTAACTATAGAATAAGAATATTAAAAAAAAGAAAACAGTTACACAAGGTAAACTTTTGATATATAAAAGAAAAGTCTGTCACAAAATTTCATATGAAACCTCGTTAGACTTAAAGTAAGCTTTCGATCAGCGTAAGGCCTAAAGATTAAAAAGCATTTTAACAATTGAATAGTTTTTTTATGTTATTTGAGTACTAAATAATTTTTAAAGAGAACGTCTAAATATATTTCTTATATGTAAAAAGTTCTTAAACAACAACACCAGAAGCGGAAGCAACTCTTGGCCATAGATCGGCACATTCTTTACCGACTGGACCAGTAATGGCGGAACCCTTCATTTCACCCTTTGGATTGGCAATAACACCAGCGTTGTCTTCAAAGTATAAGTAGACACCGTCCTTTCTTCTCCAGGACTTGGATTGACGGACAACGATAGCTGGCATGACCTTCTTTCTTAGTTCAGGCTTACCCTTCTTAACAGTAGCCATGACCATATCACCTAGAGAGGCAGCTGGTAGTCTGTTTAATCTGGAACCAGAACCCTTGACGGCGATGATGTATAGATTTCTAGCACCACTGTTGTCAGCACAGTTCATGATGGCACCAACTGGTAGACCTAGCTGTAATAAAATAAAATTGAATGAATAAATATTATTCATACCATAAAATTGTTAGTAAAATGTATTCTTCAACATGTATATATATTCTAAATCTATGACAAAATACTAAAACACAAATTAATAGTCATTTGATATGGTCATATTCAGATATTATGAGTTGATATTCGAATCATTTCATTCGATATTCGCCACAGTATCATATATATCAACAGTTTGCATAATATGGGTATAGTTCCATCTTCATATCATCAAGTTTTCCTTCTTATCATTTGATATTCAGGTATCATTTCTATTATATATTTCACAACATAATTTGTTCATTATTCTTATATTTCTAATTTCATTACAGACTTATTCTATTCCTCATATCTTAAGTAATTCGTTATTATATTCCATAGCATTTCATGTTACTTCATTATATATCATAGCCTAATTTGTTCATATCTTTTTTTATTCTCATAGATTCGTTTGCTTTTTCATTTAAATTAACATACAGAAATTCTGAATTTTGTACCTTGAGCACCGTTACCAGACATTGTTACTATATTCTTGTTTGGTTATTTGAACGTTATCTTGAACCTTAGTTACAGCTAAAGGTTATACCTCTTTTATTGCTCTATTACTAGTCCAAAAGTTCAAAATTTTGGTGATAATGCTATACGCTATTGTTGCATTGAACCTGCACACACTGTAAGGTCAATTTTCCACCATGGCAAATAATTTTCAGAGAGCGGCAACTTGATGGACGTTGAAATTTTTCAACAAAAGGAAAAAAAACAAATAACATAACGAAAAATAAGAGCATTTTGGGTGTATGGATGTATTGATTCTTTTCAATGGATGTGTGGGTTTAGTGTAGTCATATTACTTCTTCTAATTTTCAGAAAAAATTGAATATGTCAGCTTCACACAGTGCTGTAACTATACTATTTATCCATACCACTTTTAAACCTTTGTAAATAAACGAACACTTCATAACATAATCAATTTTACGTAAGCCCTATATTTAAGACTAATACTTTATTCATTATACATTCAAGTTTAGGTGTAACATATACATTGTATTTGAATATACATATATTGATGTAGTTAAATAAAAGAGGCAGGTTTTATTTATATTTAGTAATGTCATCTCTTGCTCCTAATAACAATGGGCCTGAGCAACCAGATGGGAATTATAATTTAAACTTCAAAGATAGTAATGATGGTGTTAGTCCGAACTCGAGGAAGAGGCGTAGATCTGATGGAGGAGAAAGTTCTGACGCTAATCATGATGACGATGACAATATAAGTTCGAATTCGGCATCTCCTTCTGATGAACAAACAATTGATTCGCATAATCCGAATGAAGGTGGTAGTACCTCAGTAAATGCAGAAGAGTCAATCAATATCGTAGAGACAAGGAATATTAATGAGCCTGTACCAGCGTCAGACATAGAGCCTGATTTTGATTTAAATAACGCTTTCAATGAACAGAGATCATCTACAAATGAACTTGTGACTGTTCCAGACTCCAGTGTTGATACGACGACAGAAAATAATACAACCATATCTGTTAGGCTTTCTAACGAACCTATAAATTTGATGACGCAAGATACTGAGCCTAACGTAATCTCAGAAGAATATACGAACCCTACAGTAAACACCACAGATGCCTCAAACAATCACAATAGTATGGCATCGGAGGAAGTAGTCATTTCTTCTGTTCGTAATGTGACTCCAACACTAATTGACGTTGAAGCTGCAGAACAACGAGTTGTAGAAATATCTGATGAGGAACTAGAAAAAGAAATTGAAAGTAAGACAGCCAGTGAATATAAAGCTGCTCGTGATTATCAATGCCCGATTTGCTTTGACCCACCAGAGACAGCATTGATTACACGATGTGGTCACGTATTTTGTTGTGAGTGTTTGTTCCACATGGTTAATAGTTCTAGAACTAATCGAGCAAGTGGGCATTGCGCACTATGTAGATCAAATGTGAGATTTAATGATGTGAAATTAGTTATTATGAGAAAGAAAAGGGTTAAAAAGAATTAAACAAACGAGGCCATATGTATATATTATGAATAATAAATAACGACAACGAAGAAAATATCACATCATAAAATCACTTATTTTCTTTTGAAGGGTGAATGACGGTAAGGCAAATATCGTTGGACGTCACAGCCGTGACAGAAAATAAAATAATAAAATAATAAAACCAGATAAAAATAGATATTGAACGTTGCATATTACAAATATACTTGAAGATACTGTATCTTAATCATATTATTGGTTGATATAAAATAGCTGACCACAGTATTTAATATAAAAAAGAAATCTGAGAACGATAAAATTGTTCTGGTTATATTATATTATAATAATAAATATTATTCTGTTGCCTGGCATAACACTCTATGTCAAGATAGAAAACAATAAGATACCCTCTAAGGATATTCAACAACGAGCCATTTTTTCGTAAAATTATTTACTATATTTTTTTATATTATTTTGTTATTGTTGGGTCTTTCGTATGAACAAAGAAAATATTCCAACTAGATCCCAAAGACGTCTTGTAAAAAGAAGAATAGGACGAAGAAGAAAGAAAACATTTCTATGGCTATTTCGACATAATCAAAAACGGGGTAAAATTAGACCTATTACGTTAGAGAATCCCTCTGACTATAAATTTAATGTTTTACGATTTGGCGTTTTTAGGCAGAGCTCTGATATTAGATCGGAGTTCTGCCCATACAGAGGAGTTAAACATCAGACGTTGGTGAGTCCATCGATTAAATGCCTTTGTAGACATCGCACTTTCTGCCCTACTTCACTTTCGATTGTTTGTATATTCGGTAACTTCATAGTTCAAAATTTCAATGGCACACCTTCATCGGAAATTAATGAATAGTAATTTTGAATATTATTATAACAATAAATTAATCAAACATATAACTACATATTAAATATTTAATGATTTCATTTTGATAAACCTTTTATGTATCATTTCAAAATAATAACTGTAAAGTTAGAACTCATAGTTGAATAGCAAGTGTAAATAATTGTTGTAAGTACTATTAGGTTTTTTCGGAAGTAAATAGAATTAACCACCTTCGAAAAAAGAAAAAACCTTTCAAATGTTCGAAAAATCTGGTTGTTTTTTTTTAATCCCTATTTATATCACTTTTCAATATCTTTACGTTGTCATTGGTATTACTTCGATGGATGGGATCATGATGTAGGGGACGCAATTCGGAGTAGACCCCAAAGATTCCTTGAGTCACGTGAAAAATTCTTGAAAAGTATTATTTTCTTCATTCTTTCTATCTTTCGCACTATGAAAATTTTTTGCCAGGCTGTTTTCCAAGCCTTTGCCATTATAATGAAGCGGAAAACAATGGTAAATAGAGTAAGTTGGCGATGTGTTTATGTAGCTGGACTGTAAATACAACAAATAAATAAAAACATTAAGACTATACAAGCAGTCATAATAAATAGACACAATTTAAACCATAAATCTAAGACAGGATTGAATATTTACAGAGTGAACGTCAATTATTAAAAATAGTGTTTAGACTGTTGTTACTTTGATAAGACATAGCGTATTACTGGCCAAATAAACCCTTAATAATTTACAGACAAATAAATAGCAACATTGAGTTGGAAGACAACATATTATATTAATAAAGTCAAGTTCATTATAGGATATATTTTCAATTATTTACGAGACATTGAATACTGTATTTGTCACTAGTTTTATTTTTTTTATAGAAATTTTACTTTATTTTCTCGTATTTCAACAGACGTCTAAAGAGGACAAGATATTTCCCCCTTTGACTCCAGTTTTTAAATAGCAAAATATATACCCATTTCCAATAGTGGTAGAGTGTGTTCTAAGATCATATCGCAGTATAACTATGAGTAAGAAACTTACAAGCACGTTGTCAGAGATTGACACGACATCTGCTGCTGATATATCGAAGGACTCCCAATTTAGTGCGGTCAGTGGAGAATCTCCACGAATTTTTCCTATCTACATATGCATAAATGAATATAGCAAGAGAATGGAGGATGAGCTTGATATGAAGCCTGGTGATAAAATTCAAGTGATTACAGATGATAGAGAATACAACGATGGCTGGTATTTCGGTTTAAATTTAAGAACAAAGGAAGAAGGTCTTTATCCGGTTGTATTTACTCAGAAAATAAGTAATGAAAGGAAGCCAACTTTAATGAGAGCCAAGTCTTTGAAGAGAATGAATAGCATGAATGGTATGTCTGATAGTAATACGTCTTTAGTTCCTTCAGCTGCTGACTCATCTGCTGACCTTTCGATTCCGCAAGTTGTAGAAGTTGCAGCTCCCGTTTCTGTGAACCATGAAGTTCCAGGAGAAAGACATGTATCAGTGAAAAGTACTATGAGTGATATTGATAGAGCATTACAAGACTTCCAGATAGATGAAAACTCAGAAACCGATAAAATTAATTACAAAGAAAGAGATGATGATAGTCCTGTACATAGTATTGCTGGGGAGACTATTTTTTCAGAGACAACTGACCTGAATGTTGAAGAAGGTCCTTCAAGGTCACAAACTACAGGTACTGATAGAATCAATAATGGAGTTCAGGCATCATCTTCTCTGGATGATATTAATGGGAAATCTGAATTAGATGTTGCAAATGCCCAAAATTGGACTCCAGAAGAGGTTACGGAATACTTCATCCAATCTGGGTTCGATGTTCAGTCATCATCAAGGTTTAAGCAACATAAAATATCAGGTAAAATTCTTTTTGAGTTAGAATTATCTCATTTGAAAGAACTAGATGTTAGTTCATTTGGTACACGATTTGAAATGTTTAAAGAAATCGCTGCCCTAAAGGATGCTATGGAGATGGCAACCAGTGATTCTCAAAAAAGAAAGAAAGAGTTAATGCCAGCTGCAGAGATGGAGCACATCTCAGTTAACGGACATGCCAGACCTGCATCACAATCTGTTGAAGAATTGCCAATGAGAAGTACTAGTTCTGCCGTAACACCTAAACAGAGGCCTACTTCTGTCTTAATTAATGGTAGACAGGCTAGTGATTCTAACATTGAAACACTGGATTCAAATATTATTAATCCTGCAAGTTTTGCGTCTCCAAGAAGAGCTCCTAAACCACCATCTTACCCAAGTCCAGCCCAACCTCCTAAATCACCACTAGTAAATAGATTGGCGTCTCCTATCAATGCAAGTGAATCTTTAGCCCAATCTCCTTATCGTACATCAAGAACAAGCGGATCTAATGAACATATCTCCGGCACACCTAATTCAAGAAATTCCTACTCTAGAAATACAAAATCAGGAGTGTTTTCTCCATTTGTTTCTGAGTCGATAAAAGAAGAAAGAGAGGATTCTAATAATAACAAAAGATCATCTGTGATATATTCACCTCCGCATGAAACATCAAGTCGCAATAATGAATCAAAGGAGTCTTTCGAGCTTGATGATCAGGAAGTATCACCTGACGTTGGACATGAAGAAGAGAATGCCAACGGTGATAGCAGCTTCGAAGAAGAAGATAATCATGATGCTATCAGTGATAGGCCAACATCGAGTATCTATGCAACCTCTTCAGATCATGGTTCTTCGGATGAGGAAAAGATTATCAAACCAAAGGTTGCGGATAAAGAAAAGAAGATTAAGAGAAATTCTTCAGTTTTATCATATTTTGCTCTTAATAAGAGTGGTAATGCTGTTGATAGATCATTATCTGTCAATACAGGTATAAGTAAGAGTAATTCTTTGAAATTAAAAAACAGGACTTCATTTGTTACAAGCCCATTTAGACAACAATTTACTGAAAATGCAGAACGTAATTCTCCGAAATCAGATAAGCGTACTAAAGCAACTGTTACTGACGCTGATCCATCTGCTACTCCTAAAGTAGCTAGTAAATCAAAAAAGGATAAGAGAAGGTCTGTCAGTGCCAACGGTACCTATCCAAACGATACTGTAAGAGATATCTTAGGAACTGATCAAAATAAGAGATCTGTAAGCGAGGCTGTTAAACCAAAGAAATTGCGTGCCCTTAAGTCAAAGCCACCTCTGAAGAAACAAAGCACCTCTGCATTTATGGAAGGTATTAGAAATGTTAGTGTCGATGAGGCAATAAAAACAGCAGATTATTCTGGCTGGATGAGTAAAAAAGGTAGTGGTAAAATGAGCACGTGGAAAAATCGTTTCTTCACTTTACATGGAACCAGACTTTCATATTTCTCAAGCACAAGTGATACAAGGGAGAGAGGTTTAATCGATATTACAGCACATCGTGTTGTACCTGCTAAGGAAGATGATAAATTTGTTACGTTATATGCTGCAAGTACTGGTAAAGGTAGATATTGTTTCAAGTTAATCCCACCTGCACCTGGTTCAAAGAAGGGCCTAACATTTACCCAACCTCGTATTCATTACTTCGCGGTAGATACTAAGGAAGAAATGAGAGGTTGGATGGCCACTTTGATAAAAACTACTATTGATATCGATAAGACGGTACCAGTGATCAGTTCTTATACGACACCTACTGTTTCGCTAAAGAAAGCTAAAATGATGTTAGCGGATGCTCGTGAAGAAACTAGAAAACGCGAAGAGGAGTTATCAAATAATGCAAACGATGATGAAGCTCTATGGAATGAACAACAGAAGAAATCAGGATCTAGTAATAAAAGGGACAAACACAAGAAAGACGGTAATGAAATTGATGAGAGTACAACTGTAAGCGAAACACCGAATTTATCAATCAATACATCAAGTGCAATTACTGCAAGTACAGCTGTCAATTCTAACGGTTTTGCCAGCCCGTACTTATTGGCATCTGGTGTATTATCGCCCAATTTACCACATAGTCCTGGCTTCCGCAAGGTCGGTAGCAAGGAAAAGAAAGGGACAGAATATTTTGATTCTGAAGATACCACTTTAACAGGTGCAAAATTCTGAAAGCTTGATCTGCTTTTAGAACAACTATTAGGTTTTGTGATACCAATACCACATATGCCATCGTTCTTATATATTATATTGGAAATTGTAATTATATTATTAATATTTTTTTTATACTCGACTTCGAGCAATATACAATGCTTACATAAAAAAATTTCAACCTAATAAAGATATTATTGCTGTCTGTCAATTGTGAGTCGATTTTAGAGTAGGTAAGATAAAAATGAGTTATCTTGCCTTCATCGTTACTATACACTACCTACGTTCTGAAGTTTTTCCGACCCCACAGACTTCATAATTCAATTTAATTCAGTTTTTGAAATCTTCTATCACGCGCGTTATCCTTAAACTGTACACGTCAATTAATTGTGGTACAGTTTTCTTGGGGTGAAAAAAAATGTTCAGATTGAAAAACACGCAGACTAAAAGACCATCGTTATAGGTGAAATATTTAGAAATATTTAGGTTTTACAGATGTTCTATTATCAGCATCATATCTGCTATTGTTCAATATTTTTGGTTTCTTTTGAAGAAAACTTCTTATTTAAGATACTTTATTGTTCCTTTGAGATCAGTTGCTATATATATACGTTGTTATATATATCTATTTCCAAAACCTATAACGCGTTAGTTAGTGGTATTTAAATTAAGCTTTCAGCTAATTTGGTTGATCATATATCAGGGTATTTAAGCAATATTAGGATTTCTTTTAGAGCTGTATCGGAGATTGTGATATCCCTACTTCGCACCAAGTTAGTAGATTTAATTGGTTGATTTTAGGTTTTCGTTTATTAATCTACTCGTTTTATTCATCTCGAACTAAGTCATTATTTCTTCTCTATTGCATCGTACAATATTTGAGAAGTGATTAACCGAAATCACTGGATTTTTTTATTTTAGTAGTCGTTCTATTTATTTTACATATACCTGACGCTATGTTTGTGCTCCAGATCAAATTCAAAACGCTCCCCACTGTGATACTAGTACTCTTCTTACTGTTTACGTTGCGCAATCATCTACCGCTTGCAACTCGCTTCCAAGTGGCTAACAACAGTTGGGTGACACCAAACATATACCAAAAAGGTGATAAAGTAGAAATTATCGTTAATAAAGTTGAAAGTGATCTAACTCAACTTCCCTATGCGTATTACGATTTACCATTTACTTGTCCTCCTTCAAACTTTAAAAAACCTTTACATCTTTCTTTAAATGAGATAATACGTGGTGATCGTAAATGGCAAAGTGATTATGAACTTAAGTTTGGCGAGGATATGCCATGTAAAATCCTATGTGCCCGTAAAACTAACAAAGAAGGAATGAAAACAGCAATCGATTTGATTAAAAAAGGATACGTTGCTCAATGGTTGATCGATGAAGAATTACCAGCTGCAACAACCTTCATTTCCACAAAGGATCAAAAGAAATATTATGGATCAGGTTTCCCCTTGGGTTATTATGATGAAGATACAGGAACTGTATACCTTCATAATCACTTGATGTTTGTGATAAGGTTCCATGCTACCGATGATAATAATTTTACCATTGTAGGGTTCGAGGTTTATCCAAGGTCAGTATCTGACTATAGTTGCCCAGGTGCAAGGAAAGATTATGAAAATTATGAGTTAGTTGTTCCAGAGGCAGACGATGAATTACAATATTTACCATTCACTTACTCTGTTTACTGGAGAGAAGAGTTTGATGTGGAATGGAAAGATAGATTTAAGTTTTTCTTCAATAATGGAGAATTGTCGGATGAAATTACTTCAAAATTCCATTGGATCAGTTTAGCTAACTCTATTGGTATTGTCATTCTTGCATCATTTATTGTTGCCTTTATCTTTATTAAAGTATCCTTAAAAGATAGAACTACACAAGAGAGGGATACATATGAAACGAATATATTGGCCGATAATACAGCAATTCTACCTATGATAGCTGAGAATTGGTTAAATCCTAAGGGAACAAGATGGATACATATGTTGATTGTTATGATTTCCATGGGCGTTCAATGTATTTTTACAATCATTGGTGCTTTAGCGATTTCATGCTCCCTTAACAAGTTACATGATGTCAGAAATTCAGTTTTATCTATGACTTTTGTTTTTTTTATACTAGGTGCAGCCATGGCATCCTATGTTGGTTCATATCTTTTAATCCAGATTAATATGAGAAGTAAATCTACAGTTTTGAATGATATACAAATTCGTGGTGTAATCTCATTTTCTATTTTATGTGGTTGTCTATTACCAGGTTTAGTGATGACTAGTACATTGATTTTAAACAGTATTGTTTGGGCTCATGACTCTACCAATGCTTTACCATTCGGTACAATCGTTTTGATTGTATTTATGTACTTCCTGGTCTGTATTCCATTAAGTTACATTGGAGGTCAGCTAGCTGTCAAATCTCTCGAGAATAAAAGAGTAAAGATGAGTTCACATACTAACGACCGTGCCTATATCGAAAAGTCTGGTGGTTCTTTGACAAGATTTAGAAGTAAAAAGAAAAAACTATTAATCGATTCGTTTACTATTCTCTTGATTTTAATTAGCGGTATTTTCCCATTCATTATTATCTATGTTGAACTGCAGTTCGTTTATAAGTCAGTTTGGTTAGAGAAAACCACCTTTTACTATTATTATGGATTCCTTTTAGCTAACATTTTATTGTTATGTATTGTTATTTGTGAGATTTCTATCATTGTCTGTTACGTTATGATGACAATAACATCGAAGAAAGAGGCGGATGAAGTTGATTGGCGATGGAAAGTTTATCAGGCTGGTAGTAGTCCAGCATGGTATATGGAATTGTACTCTTTATACTATATTTTCTGGGTTTTAAATATCCGTGGATTTTCCTCGATTCTATTATCCGTATGTTATAGTACAATTTTCAACGTAATATGTGGCTTTGGTATGGGTTCCCTTGGCTATTTGAGTAGTTATTTTTTCATAAGGTATGTCTCACATAGTAGAACCAAAACTCATTAAATTAGTAGCACGTTTATAAATGTGTTACATTAGCATAGACATTTTTAGTGACTTTCATTATTTGATAATTAGTTGTTGTGTTTTTCCATTCGTTTCGTCTACATGAACAATATTAGATATTTATTTCATGAGTTATGTCATAATTAGTAGTCATAATACATATATTACATTCTTTGAATTTGTATTTTCTGTTTATATAATTTAAATCTGTAAATTAACGTTTCATTAAAAATGAATCTTTCTTAATGAAAGAAACAAATTTGAATGTAGATCATCTATTGTCCTAGTCTTTATCATTTTAAGTCTTTTTTTTATTGATTTTTATATATGTTTGTATTTATACGATTAGTTACTAATACTAATGTTAATCATATGCATAAAATTTAAGAAACTGATAAACAAAATTTAAGTTGTAATAAAGCCCGCATCCTTTTTTTAGATCTAAAGTCGTATCCAAAAATAAATAAGAAGTAATTATCTTAGAATTCAACCTTGTTATCGTTATCGTTATTAAAAATAGTGTGATGTTGAACATATCCACCAGTACCATCATTGGATGGTCTAGAATATTCGTTGTTGTTGCTGTTAGAGTTCTGGTGGTATGAACGACGATTTTGTTGCTGGTAATTAGGATTGTTATTGTTATTATTGTTATGTCTTCTGTTCACATCACGATTATTATAATTATTTCTTCTATTACCAGAACCTTGATTATTGTTATAATTTCTGTTATTATTATGATATTTTCTATTGTTATATTTATTACCATTATTATTATTTTGGTTATTATTAATTTGTTGCTTTACCGTACTAATAATATCATCTTGTAATTTAATATATTTGATATAGATACCCTTTAGGTAAATTTCCGCAGATTTTAATACCTCCACTTGAGCATTGTTATCTGAACTTTTATATTCACTAACATTAGCCAAAGTAACGTTCATCCAGTTATCAACATTTGTTAATTCCCCTTCAATGACTTCACCACTTTTTAATTCTATGCGTACTTGCTGACCCTTGGCATTGGTCAATAGATACAAAGGTAGCATGTTTAATTTATGTTAGATTTGTAGAATTTATCGATCTCTTTCTTTTGCTAAAGTAAATCCTAAGCTATTGTTACAATTTCTATTACCTTAATTAATTGCCTGTTATAACTATTCTTTATTTAAAATTTTAAAGGATCTTCTTTGAAATTCAAACTTTGCTTTGCTCTCGTAACTAATTTTCACTTTTTTCTCTTTTAGTTGCTTTAAAATAATATGCGCCTATGAAGGAGGAACCACTTCTCGTTGTGTTTTTTTTTTTTCAAGTTTCTGAAATTAATCGTTGCTGTTATATTTTGGTTTTTGAACCTCGTTAACTATGATATATTCGTGTAATGTGATCTAATAGCCCTAATTTAGGGCTTGTTTTGTTAATTTTCTTTTTTTAAAAAAGTGGGGCCGAGAAGGTTAGGAATTTAACCGCCGAGAGGTTTGAAGATTTATATAAATAGAGGGGATGAAAGACAAATCAAAGGTTCATTAATTCATTCATTTACATATGGAAGATATAATACCTCTTTGAAAATTTAATCTTTTCTTCTCTCTACTTATTTGTATGGAATTTTTGAACAAATTAAAATGTGTGCCTTCTCAAGAAGTAGGCTCTACTGTGAGTAATCGTTTACCATTCGGTACTCAATAATAAACATGATTTTTTGTTTTATTTCTTTATCTAATGGAATTGTACTTGATATTTTCCCTATAAATTTTTATTATTTTTTATCAGGAAATAGGTTTAAAGTTACTGTATAAGTTTTCCTGATATCCATTTACAGATGATCCTGGAAAAAGTGGCGTTTTTTGGGTGTATGAACATTGACTACAAGGAAACTATTTAATTACGTTAGTACAACACATTAAGAAGATTATTTAATTAAAGTTTTTAGCAAAATGATAAAGTAGAATATTGAGATAAACAGTTTTGCTCATTCATACAGCCGTATATACATATATTTGGTATACTCATCCAAATGTTGTGTAATCACATTCGTGAACCATCCCTAACTTAAAGCCTTTACCACATGTTTATCGTCAAAGCTAGAAATCACAACTTAACTTTCTTATTGTTAAGTTTGGTGCTTCATGGCTTGTTTTCCTGTTCCGCACTTACAACGATTAAGAACCAGTTGTTGTTTTTTAGGTATTAGTAAAGAGAAATTATATAGAAATACTTATTATCGCGTTAATCTCTATCTTTTTTAATACTTAATATTTTTTAAAATTGTGAAGGGCTTAGTTATTGGTTTTTTGTCTTTCGGAATTTATTAGAGATATTTTCCTGAAATGGTAAACGCGAGATACTGGCTTAATATACAGGTAATCCAAGTAGTAATTACTGTATGATAGTGACAACAATAATTTAGTTTGGCTTCAATATTCAAGAATAGTGGTTATTTTACAAGCAAATTAAAGACAAGACCAAGATTTAACATTACTTAATTCTGATCCATCATACTTAAAGTATACTAATTATCAGCCTCTAGTTTACAACTTTAAAATTGAAACGTCAAAATAATAATTACGAGATTCTGTGTATATAAAATAAAACACGTTACATAATAGTCGGTTCTAATAAAAAGGGAAATTAATAAATATTTTGCTCTATTTAATTAAAACGATACAATTCAGTAACAAGAGGATACGTAAGAGAAGGTCCAAATATTTGTAATCATCAAAATTGGTATTTGTTTGAACGTGTTGCTTATTATGGTTGAACACGTCGGTTCTGATAATAAGTCGAATCAGCAATTGATCGGTAAGTCACAATTCGTTAATCATGCAATTGCACCCAACGCTGAAGAACATATGGATAAAGATGTCCCAATAATAGAGATTGCAACGTATTCTGATACTGATGTCTTTGAATGTTATGTTCGGGGTTTTGAAGTAAATATAGTTATGAGAAGAACGCGTGATGATTGGGTTAACATTACTCAGATATTTAAAGTTGCCAAATTTTCAAAAGCTCAAAGAACTAAAGTACTTGAAAAGGAATCACTAAATATGCCACATGAAAAGATTCAGGGTGGTTACGGTAGATTTCAAGGGACATGGGCTCCTTTGTCATCAGCAATCTCGTTGGCAGAAAAGTATAACATTACAGACCCAGTAGTCACACAGATACTTATGTTCCGATTCGATCCAAATAATCCACCGAGGAGAAGAAGTAGGAATAGCATTCTTAGAAGGTCATCTCCGGGGGTTAAAATAACTTCTCCGTCAAGTTATAACAAAACTCCAAAGAAAAAGGGTAATAGCAGCACATCCAAAAATAAGAAGAGTAAGCAATCTTTAGTTAACCCGAGTCCACTTCATAATGTAGCTTTTCAGACTCCCCAACAACATAATATGAATTCAACGGATTATGGAACCAATGCGAATGAGAATAATAGTATCCGTTTGCAACATGGAATTGGCCATATTCCAACAATAACAGGGCCTTATTCGGCTACACAAAAACCACTTCAATTCTACCCAATACCGACCAATACAATGAATAGCATGATTCCAAATATTAACCAGGATGCAAACCAATCGTTCAATGTCCAAACTATGAACCAACCTCATCCAAATATGCCCGCCGCGGAGCACATGACACTTCAAGGAAACTTCAATAGTATAAATGTGAGAACATCTACCTTAAACAATGGAATGAATATAGATGAAAATAACAGTTTACAAATGGTTAATGAAACCATTGATAGTATAAGGCCACTTGCAATGGCTAGTAAACGAAAACTACCTAGCAAACCACAGCGACCTCGCCAGAAGGTTGACCCCTACAAAGATAATAATTTTGCTGACTCGTTTAACAATAACAATAGGCTTATGAATAATGGTGCAAGTAATAATTTTTCAGCCGGTTCAAATATAGATATGTTTTCTTCTAATGATAATAGAACACCGTTATCATCTCGTTCAAGCTCATCCCAATATATTGAGAATAATGATGATTTTAATAGTAATGATGATAATACAATTGAGACATTGAATGCAACAGATTATAAAGCGGCCCTTTTGCAAGTTTTGGCTACAGAAAAATCTGATAAACAAACAGAGAAATTGATTGCAAAACTATACTACCCTCCACCAGATTTTGATATTAACTTTATTATTGATGATCAGGGACATACACCTCTTCATTGGGCCACTGCTTTAGCAAATGTACCCCTGGTAAAAATATTAGTGGAAACTAATGCAAATCTTACCGTATATAATAAATTGGGGATAAATTGTGTCACGAAGGCAGTATTCTATAATAATTGTTACAAAAAACAAATATTTCCAGATGTTGTAAGACTTTTGAAAGAGTGTTTAATAACTCCAGATGCAAACAGAAGACTCCCCATACATTATTTGGTAGAATTGAGTGTTAATCCAACAAAGGATCAGAAAATAATTTCATCATATATAGACACTATTTTGACTAGTTTGGGTCAAGAGAATCCTGAACTGTTGAAGTCATGTTTAGATTTTCAGGATAATATGGGTAATACTGCGTTGCATCTAGCAGCGTTAAACCTTAATGTAATATTATGGAACAGGTTAAGCTCCTTGGGGGCATCCGTAGATATTGTCAATGGTGATAATGAGACCCCTGTTTCCATTCTGAATAAATTCAACTTTGTTCCCCCCACAGACAGTCAATCGATAGATAGTGCTAGCAAACAATCTGATGTGAGTGAGAACAAGAAATATTCTAGTAAAAAGATTAAAGAAACCTATATGGATGTGAGCCAGGTAACGATATCAGAAACACCAGCAAGTTCCCGTGCTGTGAGTACTAAGGTACGAAGTGTAAAGAAAAATAGAATAAATGATAGCTCAACCCAAAAAATTAGAAAAAATAAATTATCCAGAACCCCTGGGCTTGATAAAAGTCCTGCTAATATTAACAGTATCTTAGATGATATTGCATCTTTAGATTCTCTTGTAACATCATCTGTCCTGAAGAAACCTAATGTCCATGTTTCTACGACTTTGCAACAGTCTCCGGTTATTTATAGAAAAACAATTACTGATCTTCAGAACTCTATAATCGTGAAGAGTCCCAAATCAAAGCATATCCATTCTCCAATTGATATGCTACAGGATGCAGGTTTATTTGAGGAGAATATTGCTACACATCTCTTACCACCAAACATGAAAATATCCGCATTACTAGGCAAATTACGAAATTCTAGCAACGAATTTGCGTCGTCATTGACAGGTACAATTGATGGGTTAACATCTGGTATACATGATACGGAATTAGGTATTAGAGAAACTGTAGAAAGAATTCAATTACTTGAAAATCAAAAAGAGGAGGTGCTAGACACACTGGTTGATATTGAGATGAATCCCTTGAATTTGAAGACAATCGATGAGGTTAAGGGTAAAGTTGACGATTTAAATGAACAGATTGACGTCGGTAAAACGGCGTGCGTCCAGTACACCGAGAAGTCTCAGGCATTAAAACTAGCAACGTTGGTTCAAGATGAAGAAGCTTCCCTTGCTTCAGCCACGAATGGTTGTTTAGACGAGCCTATATCCAAAGAAAACATCTCGCAATCATGTAAATTACTGGTGCAACTAACACTATTACAATTAAGAAGACGTTCGTGTATCAACAAAATTACAGAGATTAAAGTGGAATTAAACTCTACAGAAAAATTAAACAAATATAGATACCTTATTGGTATGACTATAGATGACATTGAAACCAAATTGGAGGCTATCGAAAACGATCTGCAGGCAAATCCATAAGAAAACGGAGTTGTATATATGTTATTTACTAAGTACAGCCACTGTCCCAAGCTTCCATATTTGTATATCTATATGTAGATGTAGATGTGTGTCACTTGGCACTCACACAACCTAACTATTCTTCAAAGTATAGTACCCATCAATAAATGCAATATTTATCCGTAGCTATCATGGGAATAGCATCTCCACTGGGTCCAATTTAATTAGCAAGTATTGCGGAACCCAATTTTTGGGATACTCTTTCAGACTCGTGCATATGCTCCTTTCTTTTTTTCACATTTTCTTTTTATTTTTTTTTGCGATGAGATGAGTTTCGTTTTTGAAAAAAAGGCGAAAAAAAAATTTTTAGTTCAAGTCTTCCACGCTCATCGATTTATTTTGAAAACAAGTAAACTCGATAGGCGTTGTTTCAGAGGAAAGCAATTTTTTAATAAACAAAATAGTACCAAGTTACTCTTTAAAAAAGCATATTAATCCAAGAAGCTGATAACATCTCTGTTAGACATTTTTTGGTAAGTTAGGATTTTTTTAAGAAATAACACGGAAAATCAACACTTTGTTTATCAGAAGGAATAAAATTTGTACAATACTACATTCCAACTTTTAAAAAAATGGATCAACAATTCCTGAGTCAACTTGAAAAAACTTTGACTGCTATCACCCAGCCAAACAATGCTGGTATTAAGGAGGCTACTAAGACTTTGCAGTCCCAATTCTATACTCAACCTTCCACTGTTCCAGCTTTGATTCATATTTTACATAACAATGCCGATGATGCGTTGAAACAATTAGCTGGTGTTGAAGTCAGAAAGATGATTCCAAAGCATTGGGAAAGTCTAGATGATTCGATTAAGACTACTATCAAGACTTCTTTGCTACAATCTGCATTTAGTGAACAAAAAGAAATCATTCGTCATTCCAATGCTCGTGTTATTGCAATTATCGGTAACGAGGAACTTGAAGCTAATAAATGGCCAGAATTGATTCCAAGTTTGATTCAAGGTGCCTCTGGTGATGATGCTCAAGTTAGACAAACAGCTGTTTTTATTCTGTTATCCTTATTGGAAGAATTCAGTCCATCCTTAGCAGTATACATTGACGATTTCTTAAACTTATTTGCCCACACTATCAACGATACGGCCTCACTAGAAACTAGATCACTGTCTGCCCAAGCCTTGAATCACATTTCTGCTTTAATCGAAGAAAATGAGAACATTAACGAACAACAGGCTACCAAGTTTGTATCATTGATTCCATCTGTTGTTAACGTATTGGATGCCGCTATTAAAGCCGACGATAACACAAACGCCAAATTAATTTTCAACTGTTTCAACGACTTCCTATTGTTAGACTCTAGATTAACTGGTAACTCTATTGCGGATTTGGTTAAGTTAGCTCTACAGATTGCTGTCAACACTGAAATTGATGAAGACATTAGAGTTTACTCTATCCAATTCATTATTTCTTCTCTATCTTACAGAAAATCTAAGATAATCCAAGCAAGACTAGGTCCTGAAATTACTCAAGCCGGTCTAAAGATTGCTTCTGAAGAAATTGATGTTGATGATGAACTGAACAATGAAGACGAAGCAGGTGAGAACGAAGAAAATACTCCATCGTCGAGTGCTGTTAGATTGTTAGCTTTTGCCTCTGCTGAGTTGCCACCATCTCAAGTCGCCACAGTCATCATTGAGCACATGACTCAAATGTCTCAATCTGCCAACGCTTTCCAAAGAAGAGCCATTTTGTTAGCTATTTCTGTTGCTGTTTCTGGTGCCCCAGATTATGTTTTGTCCCAGTTCGATAAGGTTATCCCAATCACTATCCAAGGTCTAAAGGACTCTGAACCAGTCGTTAAGCTAGCTGCCTTAAAGTGTGTTAGTCAAATGACTTCTGATTTACAAGACGAAGTTGCCAAGTTTCACGAGGAATACTTACCTTTGATCATCGATATTATTGATTCTGCTAAATTTGCTACCATTTACCGTTACGCTACCATTACTCTTGACGGTCTATTAGAATTTATCTCTTTCTCAGCTATTACCAAGTACTTGGAACCATTGATGAACAAATTGTTCTATATGTTGGAAAATAATAACTCTTCTAAATTAAGATGCGCTGTTGTTTCTGCCATTGGTTCTGCTGCCTTTGCTGCCGGTATTGCCTTCACCCCATACTTCAAGACTAGTGTCCAATATTTGGAACAATTTATTCAAAACTGTTCTCAACTTGAAGGTATGTCTGAAGATGATATTGAACTAAGAGCTATGACTTTCGAAAACATCTCTACTATGGCTAGAGCTGTTAGATCTGAAACTTTCTCTGAATATGCTGAACCATTGGTTAACTCTGCATATGAAGCTATCAAAACTGATTCTGCTAGATTAAGAGAATCTGGTTATGCTTTTATTGCTAACTTATCTAAGGTATATGGTGAAAACTTTGCTTCATTCTTGGCCACTATCTTACCAGAAATCTTTAAGACTCTGGAACTTGATGAATATCAATTTAACTTCGATGGTGACGCCGAAGATTTGGCTGCATTCACCGAAGATGCTACTGAAGAAGACTTGCAAAGTAAGTTCACAGTCAACACCGGTATCTCTTACGAGAAGGAAGTTGCCGCTGCCGCCCTTTCCGAATTGGCTCTTGGTACCAAGGGTCATTTCTTACCATATGTTGAACAATCTATGAAGGTTCTAACTGAACAAGTGGATGAATCCTATGGTTTGAGAGAAACTGCTTTGAACACAATTTGGAATATTGTTAAGGCTGTTTTACTTGCCTCAAAAATGGAACCTGAAACTTATCCAAAGGGTATTCCAACCACATCTTATGTTGATGGAAGTGTACTATCTATTATTAAGAACGCCAGAGATATTTCTATGAGTAACATCACTGACGAGTTTGAGACTACTATGGTTATCACCATTTTAGAGGATATAGCCAACATGATTAAACAGTTTGGTGCCATCGTCATAATGGATAACGGTGACTCTAGTTCCCTAGAAACTCTATGTATGCAAGTTTTGGCTGTTCTAAATGGTACTCATACTTGCCAAACTATTGATATGGAGGAAGATGCCCCAAGAGATGAAGATTTAGACTCATCTGAAACTGAGGCTACTCTGCAAGATGTCGCTCTTGAAGTCCTAGTCAGTTTATCCCATGCTCTTTCTGGTGATTTCGGCAAGGTCTTCGAGAACTTCAAACCTGTTGTTCTAGGTCTATTTCTATCCAAGTCTAAGAACAAGAGATCCAGCGCTGTTGGTGCTGCCTCTGAAATTGCTCTTGGTATGAAGGAACAAAATCCATACATTCAAAATATGTTAGAAGCTCTGGTTGTAAGTTTAACATCCGATAAATCATTAGAGGTCAGAGGAAATGCTGCTTATGGTGTTGGTCTACTTTGCGAATACGCCCAATTCGACGTGTCTGCAGTTTACGAACACGTCCTAAAGGCTCTATATCAAGTCTTGAGTACAGCTGACCAAAAAATGCTAGCCGCAGACGATGATGAAGTCACTAGAGAAATCATTGATAGAGCTTATGCTAATGCTAGTGGATGTGTTGCTCGTATGGCATTAAAACATGAAAACCTTGTTCCATTAGAACAAACCATTCCAGCTCTATTGAGCCACATGCCTCTACATACTGGGTTTGAAGAATATAATCCAATCTTTGAACTAATAATGAAGTTATACCAAGATAATAACGCTGTTATTATCAATCAAACTCCAAAGATTGTTGAATTGTTTTCTACTGTATTTGTTAAGGAGAATGAAAGAATTAAGTTGGAACAAGAATCTACTTTAGGTAGAGAAGAAAATATGGAAAGATTAAAACAATTCCAAACTGAAGAGATGAAGGCTAAAGTTATTGAGTTATTGAAATACTTGAATACTACATATAACGGTATTATTGCTCAAGAACCAGTCTTGGCGGCAATTATTGCTTAATTAGAATAATTTTAAAGAAGGGACAAGAAATTGTAACAATTTTGTTTCGCATCTCTCCATTCTGATTTTTCTGGCATTATTTTTCTATGACTTTTTATAAAGGAAGAAAATCCCCTCAAAAAAAGAGAACTTCCAAGGTAGAACACAACATATATATATAGTTATATTGTCTGTTCATTTTTATTAGTATTATTTTTTTTCTATAGATCTATTTTTTACATCATCTTTTTCTGTATTTTTAGTAATTTCAAAAGATTTAGATTTATTATTATAGAATTTTTTATGTTTTTTAGCATTTTATTAAATTATATTAATTTTATGACTACGGTGCTTAACTTCTCTCGCGAAACACTACCTCATCATGTAAATAAAAATTTAATAGTGATAAAAAAATTATGACGCGATATTGGATAGTATTGTACAGTAAGTAAACCAATGAGTTAAAATTTAACAATTATTCTCTATTGTACATTATATATATATTACTTAAACCCTATATATGGATCCCTGGGTCTCCAGAATCCATTCTAGAATACTATAATATATTTTCATTATTGTCTAAGTGATCCAATTCAAGTCACTCTTTTTATTTGTTACCCTCTTTATGATTCCAATTATGCCAGAAATAGAAAAAAATAGTGATAGCAGTTATGATTTTTAAAAGAAATATGTTGAAAATATAATAATATCATTGAAATAATTGTTTTCTATACAAACTAACTGTGGTTAACAATATATAAACAAACAAACAAACAAAAGAGCAGAACATTATTGAAACATAAGTTCAACTCATAATATACCAAATATGACATAGGACAAAAAAATTCTAAGGAAAAGTTCCTATTCATTTGAATGTCGCAAAAAACATATTGATGTAGTATAAAATAGTTAACCAAATTATCTGAGGCAAAAGTTTCTTCTTCAATTCCAATTTTTTAATCTCTCTTTTAAACATTGAATTTCTAACAGACAAAGTTTAATCAAAAATTCAAAACTTGAAAAACAAAATATTATATAGAGAAAGATCTAATTTTAACTGTACTGCAGTTATTTGAGGTATTACGTAACATACATATCATTGCATCTAACTTAAGAAAGCATGCAAGACGTTATATTTATAATAATGTGTCAATTCTTCAATCAAATTGTTTTAAATTCAGTTGAATGTTACGGAGAAACAGAAAGAGAAATTTAAACTTTCTGTTATTTTTGAAATCATCCAATCATATAACAAAAACTTCGTTGTTCATCTAGTTTATTACATGTAATAAATTAAATTAATAATTATTTTAAGTTAAGAGCTAACTATATATTGGGAATTAGGTCTTGTTGTAGTAAAACTGTACAAAAAACAACGTAGCAAGATTGAATAAGTTAAAATTCTTGAAGTGTTGTGCATCTTCCTTCATTTTCTTACGCTTGTATTAATTGAACATGCAGACTCTTGAAATATTTTCCGTCACGTGACATATAAATTATTCCCTGAGTTTATTCGTAGAGACATAAAGAGGGGTAAATGACAAGAAAATTAACTTTTTAGATTTTGACATTTTATGCATAAAATTTTGATGGTGAGGAACAAGTTCTAAAACTTTGCGGAGTTGGCAAACAAGATATAAAATAAGAACAATAAATAAACTTTTTTAAGAGACTCGTCTCTTTCATTGAACCTTCGGGGGAAGAAAAAGATATGCGGGGAGAGCGCCGAAAAAATTCAATTTTTTTTAGAGAGAAAGTTTGAAGGATAGTGAGAGGGGGGAGCGATCTCCTGAAATTGAGAGGGATGAATGAAAAAAATGAAAAATGAAAAATGAAAATATGAGGGTTAGAAGGAAGTAGACATAACACAGATGGTGGGGCATCAAAATCCATACAAACAAACAAACAAACAAACAAACAATAATATTCGTTTTCGTCCCCTGCCGAAAAATAGCAAATTGTAGTAAGAGTGATGTCTCAATTTTAAGTATTTATATTTAAAAATTATTTTTTTTGGTTATTTCAATCTACAGATATTTGACAGTTTAATTGCATTAAAATATGAAAAAAAGACAGAGTGATACCGTATAAATAAAAATTAGAAAAGAAAACGGCATCTCAACAAAGAAGGAGATGCCGTTCTTATTTCAACAGCAGAACCAAACTTAATTCTCTCTATTTTAATACAGCTTAATATATAAAATTTTGTGGAGTGCATGAAGGATAAGACACGGCGGGAGGGTGGAAAAGGATGATAGCAAAAATCCGATTTAAGATCCGCAAAACTGTAACACAATCTTTCCTGAAAAGATTATTCTTCTATTATATTATATTGTTCAATACTTTCTCCATTAGTTCTTTGCTATATATTTCGATATGTTAAAATATATATATATATATATCTGGAATAACTGTGTATACCTTATACAGGTATCAAACAAACAAAATAATAATAATATGTGCTACGTAATGTCCATATAGATCTGTACAAGATTAACTCCGATCTATTCATCTAGGAAAACGATTGGTACCTGATTGTACACTTTTCTTCTTCTTAAAAGTTCAATTTTCACCTCACACTGCCAAGTCGATTCTCATCATTCAATATTTGTAAATATATATAAGAACTTATTTTGATTCATGATACATATTCAAACTCCTGTAAATTTTTTTGAAATGCAGTCATTAGAGGGCAAACGATAGTAGTCTTAGATTACCATAAAAAGAAAAACAAACAACAGAAGAATCGATATTCTATTACTTTACGCCTCCTTGTCTTGAACCGTTAAACCTTTTCTTTCTTTCTTTCTTTCTAATAATAATAATAAACGATCAATCACAATAGTAAAACAATCACCGATAGCATGTTGATCAAAAACCGATTTTTCATTTACTACTGCCCCCTTTATTACTTGTTATTTTCTTTTGCCGCTGTTACTAATAATCTATCGAACGTAAAAAATAAAACTACGTCAATCTAGTTGTTTTTTTCTTTTGTTTCTTTTTATCAACTCTACAGCCAGTGAAATCCTCCTCCTCATTTTTTCTTGTTGGGTTTACCCATGTGCATGACGAAAAATGCGGTTACCGAGACACACACACGCGCCCAAAAATGGAGCGACGCATTTTTCTTTTTCTTATCTTTCTCCGTTTCTTCCAGTTTCCGAACCAACAATATTCAACTTACATGCTATTTCCGCTGCCACAACTGACCTACATTTTTTTGCTCTCTACTACTATCGGTCCCTTCGGCCCCCTCTCATTTACTTCACTTTACTTTACTTTTCTTTTTTCTGCCGGCGCAGCAGCAGCGACAGCATTAAATTAGCTTCCATGGACCCCGTTTATGTTTATTTTTATTTTTCTGCCTTCTCTCTCCGAAACATTACGCAGAATTATCACATTTTTCCGTTGCGCTCGACTTCCAAAATGGATTTTTCTCGGCAAATAGATTTTTAGAAGTCAAAATATCCGTATTCTTGCATAATTTTCAAACAATTATACGGACTAGTAATTATCACCACACGTATATCGTAAAAAACATACAAACACATTATCCCCCAATCTCTCGCTCTGTCTTTCTCACCCTCACTAACTTTTTCCCCCTCCCCGTATTGGGGGGGGGGGGGGAGGCGATAGAAGGCAAAATTTAAACAAACTGGATTGCTGTTTTATTCGAGAGGCACATTATACTACATGCATATTTCAATTGTTTAACTAAGACTATAGTGATGACTTTATTAGAAATTTTTTTAAGGGAATAGAAGAAGAAGAGGAGTTGTAGGAACCAGTTCTTGTAAGTTAAACGTTATTACATAAGAAATTGAAGAAAAAAAAAGGTGGAGTTAAAGGAGTGACGAATTTAACTAATATATTGATTTAGTAATATATTATATACATACATATATATATATATAGTAACAACAACATGACATAAATTGTTAAATTACATAAGAGATTATGCCATAAAAAATTAAATCTTTCTATAATATTTTATTGCTTGCATTATATATATGTATATACACACAGATTATCGCTATCAATTATTTTATTGAAAATCATAGGAAGAACTTAAAGAAGTTTTATTTATCTATTAGTGGAGTAATTGTCACTATATATATATAAATATTTTTCTTCTACTTTTCATCTACGTTGGAATATTGATATTTGATATATCTAATACAAATTAAAAAAAATATATTGTAACAATTTTTATTGGACCATACCCCTCCCCCCCATTACTTGCAGGGAAAGACAAAGAACAACGACAAAAAAAATGAACGATACTGAGAAAATTAATATAAATTGTATCGTTAAAGAATCATTAAATTCACATATTTATGGGTTTTTAAGTAATACAATATCTATTGAAACAGCAAAGACGTTTCTTCAAGAAACAATTGAAAGTAAAAAAAATAATACAGGTAATAAGAATAATAATTGTTGTATTCCATTAAATTGTGAATTACAAAATAATATGATTCAAAAGACTAATTTATTAGAACAATGGCAAAAGTTTTGGTATCTGTTAAACAATACAAACAATACAGATAATAATACCCATCTAGATGAAAGATCAACATTAAGAGGCTTCAATCCAAATATTACTTCACTACAACAACGAAGTCAATTGGATTTATTACCTATAATGGCCACCTCTTTAGAGAATGAAACTAATATTAGCGATACTAATATTGATACTAATAATATTGTTTTACAGAATGCTATTCATTCACATAAAATAAATAACGATATTCCTATATCAAGAAAACCAACTTCGAATGAAATCATTTCTCTACCAACTGTAGAAGATATAAAAGTAATTACAAAATCAAGATCACAATCTAATCCAAGATCTAAATCACAAGTTGCTCTATCAACTAATGACAATACAATTAAATTTGAGAATGTTTCATTCGCTAACGCCATTGAATCAAATTTTGAAGGTTCAATATCTTCTCATTATTTTCCGTCATCAATCCCAAAGGTTACTAAAAAAATTTCAAAGCCCACCAAATCTAAAAAGTCTTCTAAATTTAGTTCACCATTCATTGGCAGTTTCCAAACGACTGGATGGGTTAAACAATATGCTGATAATACTACAAATAAACTAACAAGGAAGAAATCAAATAAGAAAAACACTCCAACCTCATTAGAATCACATTCAAGAAAGTTAGAATTCTCAACAAAAAGAGAAAATTCACAAAGGTCTAATAGTGTATGTAGCAACTGTAGTTCGACAACAGCACCTTCAGTATCATCATTATCATCATCTTCAAAATCAAAACCTAAATCAAAAAAATATAACAGTAAATCACCCATTGCAAACAATAACAATAATAATCATAACCCGAAGGTAATAACTACTCCGCAAGTGGATTCATTATTAGATTCTACAACCATTGACCTTACAGAAATGACCAATTCAAATCCTACAATAAATTTCATTCAAGAAACAAATAACTACCAACATTTATATGCTGGATATCAAGATCATGCTTCTAATTCAGATGAACATTCGTTTATGGAGACACTTCTTCACGATACTCTCCCATTTGATGAACATATATTTACTGCAATAAACTTTGATCAATTTTCAGTACAATCATCAAATTCAGAAGTAGGCTTGAACTCAATGAGCCATAGAAAGTCAGATTCATCAAGGGTTTCCAGTGAATGAATATAATATTATTCGTTTTTATTGTTATTCGTATCATTGCAAATCTCAATATGAGCTGCAAATGAATAACATGAAAAAAATGATTTGAGTAGAACTGCGCGTCAGTTAATAAATGACTACATTTAATAAATTTGGTAAATTTTTCTAATTTTACCATAAAGGTTTATGACATTTAGCATTACCAGTAGCATTACAATTTTGAGTTTTATTTTATTTCATTAGCCAAAATATGGTTCAAGTTTCTTGTAATTTATCCTATTAATTTGTGCAGAGATATTAATTCTTTACATTGAAATTATTAAACCAAAAATTTTCACTCCTGGCCACCTCTGAGAGGTAGGCTAGGAAACTGCATAATAAACACACATATACATATATCTCTAGAAGAGCATAGTATGGTATTATATAGAGCATTATAAAATAACATCTTCTAAAACGAATATATAATTTTACAAATAAGTCATTCTTAACCAATTGTTCCTCATTATTTAATTCATTTATAACCCATACTGAAATCCATCCTTTCAAAAAAACAACAGTAACATTTTCTTACGATGTTACTCTTCTCACTTTGTACCAGATAGTGTTCAGATATAGAGAAAGGCCATTTTAGACGGAAAATATTAGGACCTTTTAGAGCGTGAAATATAGAAGAGCGTGTATGGTTACAAGAAACGGAATTGAAGAATGATAGAGTTATATCCATCGAATTAAAGAAACAGGATTGTTCGGAAACAAACGATGTAATTCTATAAAAGAATAGTATAAGATGAATGAATAATTGTGTAAACCTACGACTCAGTCTGACTTATTACTGCAGAGTATTGAAAGTTCCAGATTATCACATAATATAAATAAGAAACTGGAAATATCAGTTGATCTGAACTCCCTACAAGAAAGATATATATATAGAGAAAATCTAGAGGAAGTAAAGTTATCATAAGGAGAGTTTACGTAATTATGTAGCAGAATTTTCTTTTCTTACATAATAGAAAAGGGATATACTGGAGTATCCACACTATAAAACATATATACAACAAATAAATAACCTTGAGAGACAACTATTATGTCTTCTAATACCAACAACCACCTTCAAGAAGGAGAAATCGAATCCGTAAATTATTCAGTTTTGGACACATTCTAAAAGATAGACGATTTATTAGGTTTGATTTAATTACCTTAGCGAGGTGCCCCCGAACTTCGTCCGTCCAAAGATTTAAAAATTTCTTGAAAGAATAAAAACTTTGTTCTATGATGACAATACATATCAGAAAACAAAAGAGGTAAGTGAGATACCAGAACAGTACAACCGATTGTATCGTCATATTCACTTTAATAATACTTATTAGGGAGCCATATTAAGTATTATCCCGTCTCTATTGCAATCTGTTTTATATTATTGAATTGAACATCTACACTAATTGAATCAGAAACAAAGATACAACCCATTATAGATTTAAAACCTTAATCGAATAGAAGAAACTGTTAGTAAATACATAAAATATGTCCTTTTTTCCAGCACCTGCTACTAATACAAGCGGTACTTTTAGTACGATGGCGAACCAACAAGATCTAGCAAATGATATTGTAATCAATAACCCTGCAGAAGACTCTATATCAGATATTGCATTCTCTCCTCAAAATGATTTCCTATTCTCCGTAAGTTCATGGGATGGGAAAGTCAGGATCTGGGATGTACAAAGTGGATCAGCTCAAGGTCGTTCTCAATATGAACACGGTGGTCCCGTATTAACTACAAGATGGAGTAATGACGGTTCTACTGTAGCATCAGGTGGATGTGACAACACAATCAAATTATTTGACGTTGCCACAAGTCAGTCACGTCAACTTGGTACCCATTCTGGAGCCGTGAAGTCATTAAGATTTGTTAATTGTGGTCCAAGTAATGCGGAATGTTTAGTAACTGGTTCATGGGATAAAACAATAAAATATTGGGATTTAAGACAACCTAACCCTATTAGTACATTAACAATGCCAGATAGAGTATATACAATGGATAACAAGTCTCAATTGTTGGTAGTCGGTACTGCGGAAAGACATATTGCAATTATTAATTTAAATAATCCAGGGACGATATTCAAAGCGACACAATCACCATTAAAATGGCAAACAAGAGTCGTAGCATGTTATAACGAAGGTAATGGTTATGCTATCGGATCTGTTGAAGGTAGATGTGCAATTAGATATGTCGATGATGAAATGCAAAAAAAGAGTGGATTTTCATTTAAATGTCATAGACAATCAAATCCGAATAGAGCAGCCGGAACTCAAAATCAATCGATGGTGTATCCTGTGAATAGTATAGCATTTCACCCTATATATGGCACTTTTGGTACTGCTGGTGGCGACGGGTGCTTCCATTTCTGGGATAAAGATCACAGACATAGATTAAAAGCGTTTCCAACTCTTCAAGCTTCTATCCCCGTTATTAATTTTAATAGAACTGGTTCTATTTTTGCATATGCTTTGAGTTATGATTGGCATCAAGGTTATACCGGTAATACGCCGAACTATCCAAATGTTATTAGATTGCATCCTACTAGAGATGACGAAGTCAAGGAAAAGAGGAAGAAATGATTGGTTAATTAAATAATAAATTTCATGAAATAGCATAATGTTAATTAAACGTAGAACTACATGCCATTTTTGGTTTTAAAAACCTGGTATCATTTATAAACAACCATATATGTATCTATGTACATTAGCATATCACTTTAAAAGAAGAACCATTACAAATATATGCTTGTAATAGAGTCAAAGCATATTAATTATTATGGTCAAAATAGGTATTACGCTGTAAAGTACTCTCGGAATTCTTTCGTGGAGTTAGTTCATCGTTATATTTGTTCCCAATAGACTCCAATGGATTGCAATAGATATCATCATTTAATATTTTTTCAATATCGAAAGTAACACCTTCAAATACTTTTTCTCTATCCCTATAAGATAGTACACTTGGCGGTATAATTTTTCTCTTCTTTAACCTTCTTTGTGACTCACTCTGTTCATCCAACGACTCAACGTGTATCTCAATTTCACTACTGTCATGCTGCTTATGGATTGAGAGAAGCCCCGATAAATTAGGTATTGGTATGAATGTGATGTGACTCATATCAAATTTTATAGAATTTTCATTAAGTTTCTTTTCTAAACAGCTTTCAATTTTCCATAATGGATATATGTTTTTATAAACTTTATTATGATAACAACTATTTCTAAAATTCCATTTCCCATCGATAGTCAATTCCAATTCGAATAAAAACCAAATTCTTGAAGAGCTAATACTTAACATATTTTCATTTGAACACGAATAATGGGTACATGTGGAATTCATATTTTCATATCTAAATATTTGATTTTGTAATATTTTTAAATTAGCCTTTGTCAATGGGCGGCTAATATTTATATTTTGAATGCTATTAGGAGAAGAATTTTGTAATGCATAAAGACGTCTAGCCTCTACTTCATCACTATTATCTTTTGTAACCAATTGTGGCGTACAGTCAACCTTTGAAATCTTTCGTTCCTCAGATTGGATAAGCGTCTTTTTATTATATATTGTCCTCTGTGGTACTGGTACATTTGAATTAATATTTTTCTCCGTAAGAGCTCTTCTTTCGAGTTTCATTAGTTGATATACAGTAATTGTACGAATAATTTTAGAGTCACTTAATTTTATTTAAAATTGTATATTTACCTGTTTCTTACCTGCTTCTTCCTAATCATACTTTTTATGGTGAAGTTATTCGGAGAAATAAGAACCGAAATAGAACTTACCATTCAAGGCCCTCCAAGGAAAACTCTGGAAAACAAACAAAAGTGAATTAAAACCACACAAGAATAAATAGTTCCATGAATATATAAGTATTATATAACAATTCAAAATTTCTTCATTAGATAAATTATCGTAAGATTAGCAAATTATTTAGTAATATTAATCATACATCCCTTATATAGAGAATCATGCCAATAATACGTCTCTCTTTAGTCAAGAACATTAGAAGAGATATACTTACATAAATTGTGAGCCGTTAGAATAAAGTGCATCCCATGAGAGGAATATTTTAACAGGCTACTTGTGTCACGCATGAACATGGTCGTTTTTAATAGATATACCATATATCTAACATCCAGTACCGAATGTATTTTCTCCAGCGTACGTCACGTACAAAAACCCATCCTTATCCTTATACTGTTGATAAACAGAGGACATCAAAGAAGCTGTGGGTGGTAGAGTATCATTAACAAATATGAAAATAGCCTTCTCTGGCGGTAATTGGATCCTCTTTCGTATCACGTATATGAATTGACCGACGGTCAAATCATCCGGAACTAAATATTTTCTCTTGTCAATATCGGGAACATCTGATTTCTCAACCTTCTCACAGATTAAAGGGATTCTATTTCCAAACTTCTTAGTTATCCTCTCTGACTCCTCCTTCCTCTTTTCAAAATCAAATTCTGTCTTAAACGATGGTCTCATTTCTGTAATCGACAATAACTTTATTCCTTCTGTCTATAGATATATTAGTATTGGCAAAATCAAAAATACAATAATTCTAGGATGTTGCTTTATATAAAGATTTCCACCATATATTATTGTAGTGCTAATGTAGTCCAGTCATATTGTGCATTGCATTACTAATACAAAAACACCACAATCTCTAACTGACGCCTCTTGCTTGCATTCCAAACAATTTTATTCCTTTAATTATAGAAAATTTGGCCGTCACCGCGTTCCCTTAAAAAAAGGAAAGAAAGAACAGAATTTGGGGGAATGCCTCTTTTCTATTAAATAAAACAATTGTTCGATGACTTAACAGCCCTTCCGATACTTTTCATAATATAATTGCTCTGGAGTTTTAGCAGAAAAATATTATACGATATTGAGTGGTATCTCATTCAAGAACATAGCATCATATTATGTTATCATGACGAAGATTAAGAGTCACCATATATTGTGGCAAATTTTTAAGCTTCATGTGAGAGAAAATTCTGCCATCATTTCTTCCAATTCTCGTTCCCAATGCTCTTTCTCTTCTATGAATGCCAGTAAATCATCATCATACAGTTCCATTTCTTCTTGTTGTTCTCTCTCTAAATCAGCAACCAATTCAGCTGATATACTATGTTCTGTAGCATTATTATGAAGTATTTTATCCTCAATGGCTTTTTCTCCATCCATTACCAACTCTTCCATTTTATCTAACCCACCTCGTCTTTGCATGCTCTTATCATCGTTACGGGCCGATCTGATATCATTTAATTTCTTGAATTGTTCATTTCTACGATTTATTTCAGCTAATGGGGATGACTGAATACTCAATTTACTGGAGTGAGCAGAACGCTCTTTACGGTCGTTAACAATATCACTAACTACTGATCTTGTACCAAATCGTTCAATAGAACGATCTCTTGAACGATCTACCCTAGAAGGTGTTCCTGTAAACGGAGAACTAGAGTACCGAATATCTGGCGGATCAGATTGTAGTTTATTAGGAGAATTCATATCATGCATCTGTCTTTTCTTTTCTTTCTTTAATAGTTACTATTATGTATTTGTACATTTTATTCATATAGATTTCATAAATCTTCTTAAATAATTATAGTAAGCATACTATCAGTGTGTTTTCTCTTTTAACAACGTTTAATTTGAATTGCATCGATTTCACAATGAAATTTCTTTAGTAAGAAAGACGCGTCATTTTCAAGGCATCGTTGCTAGTCCTTCGCGATCACATATTATTCACAGTAAAACTATGTTAGAAGTGATGAGATGAAACTCAACTTGAAAAGAAACGTCAGTTAGTTCAACTGAAACTGATTTTTTTTTTAAATAGAAATAAATTACTTTATTAGAATATATATAAATCAGATGTATATAAAAGAAATAGATATGTACGTGTAAGTATATACTTCACACAATTCATATGATGAAACTAATCAAATTTGATCTAATCAACTTCTTCAACAGTTGGGCCTTCAGCAGAACCACCTGGAGCTGCACCGGCACCTGGAGCACCGGCACCTGGAGCACCGGCACCTGGAGCACCACCTGGCATACCACCGCCTGGAGCGCCACCAGCACCGTAGAATTGACTCATAATTGGATTAGCAACAGCTTCCAATTCCTTTTGTTTGTCTTTGTATTCTTCGGTAGAAGCAGCTTGAGAGGCATCTAACCAATCAATTGCTTCTTGAGCTGCCTTTTCGATCTTTTCAACATCTTCAGCACCAACCTTTTCTTTAAAAGCTGTTTCACCAACAGTATTCTTCAAGGAGAATGCGTAAGACTCTAAACCATTCTTAGCTTGAACACGATCAGCTTCCTTTTCATCTTCAGCCTTGAACTTTTCAGCTTCAGAGACCATTCTTTCAATATCATCCTTGGATAGTCTACCTTTGTCATTTGTGATTGTAATCTTATTAGATTTACCAGTACCCTTTTCAACAGCAGAAACATTCAAAATACCATTAGCATCGATATCGAAAGTAACTTCGATTTGTGGTACACCCCTTGGAGCAGGTGGAATACCAGCCAATTCAAACTTACCTAGTATATTGTTATCCTTGGTTCTTGTTCTTTCACCTTCAAATACTTGAATCAACACACCAGGTTGATTGTCAGCATAAGTAGAGAAAGTCTCTGATTTCTTAGTTGGAATCGTAGAGTTTCTTGGAATCAATTTAGTCATAATACCACCAGCAGTTTCAATACCTAGAGATAATGGAGCAACATCCAATAATAATAGATCTTGTGTCTTTGAAGAAGTATCACCAGTTAAGATAGCAGCCTGTACGGCAGCACCATAAGCAACAGCTTCATCTGGGTTAATAGATCTATTTGGTTCTTTACCATTAAAGAAATCGGAAACCAATTTTTGAACCTTTGGAATTCTTGTAGAACCACCAACTAGAACAATTTCATCAACTTGGGATTTATCTAATTTTGAGTCTCTCAAAACCTTTTCAACTGGTTCTAAAGTTGATCTGAATTGATCTGCACAAAGTTCTTCAAATCTAGCTCTAGTGATAGAAGTATAGAAATCAATACCTTCATACAAAGAATCAATTTCAACTGAAGTTTGAGCCGACGAAGACAAAGCTCTCTTAGCTCTTTCACAAGCAGTTCTCAATCTTCTCAAAGCTCTTTGATTAGACGTTATATCTTTCTTATTCTTCCTCTTGAATTCTTCAACAAAGTGATTAACCAATCTGTTATCGAAATCTTCACCACCTAAATGAGTATCACCAGCTGTAGCCTTAACTTCGAAGATACCATCATCAATAGATAATAGAGAGACATCAAATGTACCACCACCAAGATCAAATATCAATACATTGTGTTCAGCAGTGCCCTTCTTATCTAGACCGTAAGCAATTGCAGCAGCAGTAGGTTCATTAATAATTCTTAGAACGTTTAGACCAGCAATAGTACCGGCATCCTTAGTGGCTTGTCTTTGAGAGTCATTGAAATAAGCAGGAACAGTAACCACGGCATCATTGACATCAGTACCTAAATAATTTTGAGCGGTTTCCTTCATCTTAACTAAGATCATACCTGAAATTTCTTCTGGAGTGAAAACCTTTGTTTCACCCTTGAATTCAACTTGAACAGCAGGCTTACCTTCTTTGTCAACTACTATAAATGGATAATGTTTAGCATCGGCAGTAACCTCTGGGTCGTTAAATTTACGACCAATTAAACGCTTAGCATCAAATACGGTATTAATCGGATTAATAGCAGCTTGATTCTTAGCAGCGTCACCAATTAATCTTTCAGTATCAGTGAAAGCCACATAAGATGGAGTAGTTCTATTACCTTGATCGTTAGCGATAATTTCTACACGATCATTAGAAAAGTGAGCGACACATGAGTAAGTTGTACCCAAATCAATACCAACAGCTTTAGACATTGTTTTTTTGATTGAATTATTATTTATAAGTTAAAACTTATAGTCTTTTTAATTTCTTATGTCTTCGTAATCAATAAAAATATAAAAATAAAACAGAAAAGAATAAGTTTTATTGTAATTACTTTATTTTCCTTTGTTAAAAAGATATAGTTTGTTTTTGTTACTTTATATATAATTTAAAAAAAAAATAATAATTATAAAACAAGGAATTATGTAATTGTATCGCAACGTTAAACCCCCTATTTATATCCTTATTATTATATTCTGGTTTTTACAAAATGTGTCTATTTATTTTTTCAAACTCACTCAAACTGAATTGTTTTAAAAACATGTGTATATGTCTTTTTATTCCAGAGTATTCTGGAGAGAAAGAACCCTTTCACCCCACTCCCTAGTCAACTTCTTTACACTTTAAACGAGAGGAACAACTAACTACTAAATCATTCCTTCGTACTAGTCATATTAGGAAATTATTTCTTATTTCTCATTTAATATTCATATATAATAACATTATTGTCGCATCCCTTATTTGTACTTCTTTGACATTCTTTAACATTCTATTACTATTACTATTACTATTACTATTACTATTACTATTATTATTTCAACTTCTTCCATTTACAGTCATTTTTCCCTTGTCCTTGCGATTTCATCAACTTCTGTGGCAAGCTCCGAGAACATACTAGAACTTTCCTGACAGTTTCTATGTAAATTTGTACGTATAAACAGTTTAAGATGGGATGACCAAGGGATGGCGCGCACGCATTGGGAACAGAGCCAGACAAACAGGGGTCGTTAGTACTTAAAATTAGAGGTGCAAACTACGGGGACAATCTTATAGTATAGTGGGAACACATGGGAACGAATGTGGTTCATATTAAGACAGACCCAATTTAAACTTGAAGTAAAAGAGAGAGAGAGAGAGAGAGAGAGAGGGAGAGAGAGCAGAAATACCTCGGACCTTCAAGGGTACCTTACCTTCTTCAGCGAATGTAATATACTTATTTTCTGTTCTTTCTGAATGTGATTAGGATGAATTGATGTAAAACATGTGTCAATGGAGTTGTGCACGGTCAGTATCTTGTGTCTTAGAGAAGAGAAATGGTAACTGAATGTTACTCTAGATACTTAGATACCGAATGATACAAATCCAAATCCTTATTATAATGTCACTGTTACCTAGGAACTCTCCCGTAAACTAACATACACACACACATACATATATACTAATTCTATACAGTGTGCCATTGATTATCCCTCTCAGATGAATAACTAATGATATGAAAAAAATGTGTTATGCATGTCTCTGTTGAAAGGAAAATAACAATCTTTAATTCACACATCTTAAGGAATACCATTGAAACATGATCTTGCTGTATCCTATTTCTCTTCTCGTAATTATCGGATAGTATATTTCATTTAGTTTTACTTAGCAACCGCATCAATCAGTTTTCCGACTGTTTGCTTTATTAATGGATATATCTGCCATATTCATTTATCCCTTTTTATATTTATTTATATATATATATTTCAACCGTAATATATACCACCCACTATTGTAGGCCCATCTTCATCTTCTGAACTATCTAATCTATGATAATCAACAGTACCAATCTCGTCACCATCATTGAAACTAATGACTTCTTCTTCTTCACTTTCCTCGTCTTGCTGTGGTAGTGTTTGTGTTTCACTGCTATCCTGTTCAATAATATGACATTTTATTAACATACTATGTGTCTTTGGTAAATTTTCTTTTTGAAAAGAATCATTTGTAAATAAAGATATCCATAATTTTTCATTAATTAATACATCTCTATATTCAATTGGTATTAAATCCAATTCTACTGATAAAATATTATCTAAATTTCCAATAAATTCTTTACTGACCTGGGATGATCGACAAACCAATTCAATCATACTATGCCATTGTAAACTTGATCCGTAATTACCAAATAATATCAAATTTAAATATGAATATTGTAATTCTCCAATGTAATTAAACTCTTTACCTTTAAATTTTTGTTTAATAATTATTTCATTAAAATAATACGATTTATCTTGAAAATCTTCCATCTTATAATCATCACGCATAGCTTCCTTAGATTTAAATTTAATAGGGGAATAATGAAACAGTCTATTTTTATCATTATCACCATCATTATCACCATCATTATCGCTATTATAATGTCCATCTTTTATTAAAGTCCGGCGCAATAATTCATTTTCCTCCCATGTAGTCATTGAAGAATCTACAAATACAAACCTTTCTTCCTTGCCATGTCTATATTTGGGAAAAACTATTGTTTTAACTAAGGGCCAATTAATTTTATTACTTAATATCCCCCACCTGTTTCCTTCATCTATCTTTGGATATTCACTAACCATATTTCTCTCAATGTAATCCTTCATTGCCAATTCATATTTAACACTGTCATCCTCTTGAAATATTTCATACAATTCCTGACCTTCATTATAAACAACGTAATAACTACCATGAGTAATCCAATACCCATATCTTAAACCTGAGTCTTCATTGGTTTCATTTTGATCTTGATTCTTCACAACATGTTGAAAATGGATGACATGTAAGTCAGTGTCATTAACATGCGGTATATTTACAATACCTTTAAAAGGTTGGTCTTTAACAACATGAAATGAACCTAAATCAATACCTATTATGACGTCAACCACTATATTGGTAAATAGAATATTTGACATATACGTCTAGCTTTCTTTATTTTGATCAACGTCTTCTTTTCTTTTTGATATTACATTACATTAATTCATCGAGTTAAACCCTAATTTAATATATTAACTATTGCTGTAATTGATTAGTACGTACTGAACGCGCAGAGGTTCTCAGAATTTTGCGATGGCTCCATTTGTATGGATGAACACGACAAAAAATGAAAAAAATGAAGATTTTGAAAAATTTTCTTGTTTTGTCCTCTATCACTGGATCGACATATATAAAGAGACAAAATTCATTACTATTTTCTATTTATTAAATGTATACCGTCTCCATTATAAGTCATTTTCATTGTTCCTTTATGTATTATTGTTAAATTATTTAAACAAGACAAGGAACTTTGTCATTTTTAGACAAGGTATCAGACGTCTACGTTGATATAATAGCTGAAAGTTCAGTTTCAAATATATTATCCACTGAGTTCAATGGTTAATTTATTTTATAAACTGAGTGTTCGTTTCATATCAAACAACCAAACTTTATAACTTGTGAAATAATAAAAACTTAAATGATGAAATTTATGATTCTACAGACCTGTTCTGACCTCCATTTCGAGGGATGCAGATACTATTCATTGCCTTTTTTTCTGATTTATTATTTATTATTTATTCTTATATTTTAATTATTTGGTTGCAATATGTATCATTGCTAACCTTGTAGTTCATGTACCATACATATATGGGCGTTATATAATACTTTGACATCAGAAAGTTTGTATGGGTTGATTGAAATAATCACAAGAGCACATATACCATAACAAAAATCTTTACTGATCAAGTTTACAGTGACCTCTTTATGTTTTCTTTAATGATGTTTATAGATATTTATTGTATGTTATATTTATTAGTTAACTGAATGGTTAAGTATAGAAAATGATACATGAGAAGTGATTGACCTTATTACCCATTAGAAAGCTTATTTCTTGGCGGTCATTCTTCTTAGGTAGAAAGCTAGTTCTTCACCTTCTAGAATGTAACCATCACATCTACCAGATTGACCTGGTCTGGAAGAGATAACGGCATATAGTCTACCAGCAGTGAATTGAGATTCAACAGCTTGTTCAACCTTGGCAGAAGCAGCTCTGGAAGCCCATTTCTTTTCAGTACTCTTGGACTTAGCAACAACTTCTTCTTCCTTAGTGTTCTTCTTCTTACCTAGAGATAGACCGTAGTGAGCTTGGTACCATTGCTTGAATGGAGTAGCATCGATTTGAACAACAGCGGCCTTGGTTAGAGTGTTAGTTCTGACCAGTTCGTTGTTAGATGGATGGTAAGCAACACCAGCAATTCTGGTCTTCTTGGACATACCTTCGGAAGCCCAGGAGAAGTTACCGGTTTCAATTCTTAGAGCTCTGAACTTCTTGTTACCACCTCTGGTTCTGACAGTGTGAATTCTCTTAGCACCAATCTTGGTGTTAGCTGGTTGACGACCTAATTCAAACTTTCTCTTCTTTCTGAATTGAGCACGCTTGGCACCGGTGGCCGATCTTTTGTGACGAGAATCACGAGAAATACCCATTTTGATATCTGTAATTAAAAAATGAATAACTGATTAAGTTATTGTATATGTTAGTAAATTATATCCATACAAGTAAATTTCGATATCAACGTTTCTATGTTGTAACACAGTAGAAAGTCATCGATAAGGCTATCTATTTATTAAAAAACAGGAATGCCATCGCTTATAACATTTTCTTTCTTTCTCAACATTCGTTATTTTGAAGCTATCCTCCTATAGGTATGAAACTATTCACATAATAATTGTCTCTTTAATTCTCAATAGATGTATTGCAATATATACATAAATTTGGCTTCTAGATATTTTTTATTGTAATAATAATAACCGACTCATTCTACTGTTTCTAAATAACTCCTTTGATAATTCTCTTTAACATACATTTATTTCTTGTGTTGTTTGACTATCTTTATATGAAAGTTAACAATAATAAGAAAGTAATTAAACTTATAGTAAAGCTTCTTTTAACAATAACTAAAGGTTTATAGCAGATATGATACTTTGCTATGATCACTTGCAATGGAGTTTTCTCTAGAAGTTTCAATACTATCTGATGCGAGGTGTATTACATATTGTTCGAAACTGTATGTGTGTCTGTGTGTGTACGCTGAAAAATTGAGTTTTCCCCTCTCTGCGTTATTGAATATTTCTTCCCGCAGTGTGAGAAAAAATTTAGTTCGCCCAATATTTACCGAAAAATATTTTGGAAGTGTTTTTTGAAAAATATTATTTACAGAAAATGTACGGATGTTTATAGATGTACGGATGCATCAAACAAATCTAGTCAAATATATATTTCAGGGTGTCTCATGAAAAAATTAACGAAAAAAGTCTTAAATTGTTTAAGATGAAGAAAAAGCCTGAGGGAAACGCTTACTAATTAATTAGCGACACACCCAATAATACACTCTGAGGGTGACAGTAAAAGAGAAAGATCATTTAACTCTCATTCAATATATATATATACTTTACGGCGTAAATATTTAAGGAAAATGTATGTTCAAGGTAGTATATTTCATAGTTAAATAAATTCTACATTAGTAAAACTGTCGAAACGCATATACCCTTGTTCAAAATGGTTGCTACTTACGATGAAATTGAAATTGAAGATATGACTTTTCTTCCAGAAGATCAAATGTTTACTTATCCATGCCCTTGTGGGGATAGATTTGAAATTTTACTAGAGGACATGCTAGAGGGTGAAAATATTGCAGTTTGTCCAAGTTGTTCTTTAATGATTGATGTTATATTCGAACCAGAAGACTTAGGGGAATTCTTCGAGGATGCTGGTTTACCTGTCCCAACTTCCATTGGTATTACAATTTAAGAGGGAATACTTATAATTGGAAAAAAAAGAATTAAAGATCTTATTAATCTTTTGGAAAATCGAAACACGATCTTAAATAGCATCCTAAAATGAAAACATTTTGTAGGAACATATCATTTACAAAACCTTGAGGAAACACATCAAATATGTAACTCTTTTAAATAAGTATACTTTGAATGAAGAAGATCAAACCTTATAAGCAATTTGTATAATGTGATATCATCTATTCTAATCTTAACGATTTTCTTTCATTTTATTGTATGAACGACTCATTCAAGATTTAATTTGAGCGCTTTGAATCGTTAGTTTGTTCTCCGAGGGAAATAAGAAAAACATAATACTTAAGTGAACAAAATAACAGAAACACAACAACAGCGCAGGGTCTTCTACTTCTTAGGTAAAGGGCGACATCATGAGGAAATCAAAAGCATCTGCATCCATCAACATAATAAATAATATTAGAAGGAAAACAGTATCAACCTCAAATCCATTAAATATTTAGTACTATTTCGCCTCTTATTTAGTAGTTTCATATAAATATATTAGTTTTCTAATTAACACTTTTAATCTATAGATTATTAAAGCAAATATAAGTTTGCCTGATTGCACTGCATAGGAATATAGATAGCAATCCAGAATTACACATACTTCAATAGGAATAAATAATCCAATGTCGACATATAATAATACCCCAATGAATAATGGTAGCGTTAAATCAAATGTCGAACCCATGACGGTAGTCCCGCAGAGTCAACCAGCTACACCAACTATACCTGATGATGCTAAATTCCGTAGTGTTTCTACCCCTGATAAATATGCAAAATTTTTAACTACGAAAGCCTTAGTATTTCGTTGTAAGACTGGTCCATTAGAGTTCTCCTATGATGATCGTAGACTGAGTGGTAAAGAAACCAAAAACCATCTTATTATTCAAGTAACATATGTTGGACTAAATCCTGTTGATAAGTTCATTAAAAATGGATACCCTACACCTACTCATGGGGAGATTGGTTTAGGTAGAGAGTATAGTGGTATAGTGACGCATGTTGGTGAAAACCTAGATAAAGATTGGAAATTAGGCGATGAAGTGTATGGCATTTATTACCATCCTCACTTGGGAATTGGCTGTTTGAAATCTAGTATTTTGGTCGATCCTCGCCAGGACCCAATCATATTGAGACCATTACACATTACCGAACAAGAGGCAGCTGGCTCTCTTTTCTGTCTAGGTGCTGCATTTAACATATTAGATAAAGTAAAGAACAAAAATAAATTAACACCAGGTTCAAATATTTTGATAATTGGAGGTACTTCATCGATTGCTATGGCTTCTTTACAGTTATTAATGAATTATTATAGTATTGAAACAAAAATAACAATTGCTACAAGACCCAGTGGAGCAATCAAATTACAAAAATTATTTCCTTCATTTGCAAGCCAATTAATCTTTATAGATTATGATGCTTGCAACGGTAAACTGAGCGAACCATTGAAAGAGATCATTCAAAATGAAAAATACGTTGTTCTTCAAGAAAACAATAAAGTAGAATACCCTTACATCCAGGGTAAATTTGATGTCATATTAGATTTCATTGGTGGTTATGATGTTGTTCAGAACTCGAAAACATTAATTCGTAAAGGTGGTGTATATTTAACTACCGTAGGAGATAAATTAGCTAACTACAAGAAGGATACATTTGGGGCATATGATAGTGCTAGTGCTAATACCAGAAGAATGTTTGGTTCAATGTTATGGTCATATTCTTACATTCATTACTACTTTGATCCAAATGCAAAGACTGCCTCTTCGAATAACTGGATAGTCAAATGTGGAGACTTGATTAGAAATGGTTCAGTAAGATGTATAATAGATAAACAGTTCAATTGGAATGATACAGCGGATGCTCTTTTATATTTAAGCAGTCAGCGTGCACAAGGGAAAGTTATTTTGGAAGTAGACAAGTTTTAATAATAATGCACAGATTTAAGTCCATTCTTACTAATTTATATACATTAATAATTAATAGTTCATATCTAGAATTGTAAAAGTATGAAGTACCTTTCATTGTCTATCTTCCCTTTAAAGATCTGGAATCCGGCACGTGATCGAAAATAAGAATTGTAGTTTTCAAAAAAAAAAAAATTAAAAAAAAAAATTAATGTCTAAAATTCGGAAGATGCCCATCTCATTGAATAAAATAGCTTGAGATGAGCAACCGATTTAGGATATATTTTGCAGTGAAAAATAAGCTTATCAAAATACTGTTTAACTTACGTTGAAATTACTACAATTTTCTTAACGGGTTACCCATATTATCATTAGAAGATAATAACTATTATTCAAAAATTCATTAATATTCTAAGTTATGGAAGGCGATAGCGAAGAGATGTCTTCTAACAACATTAAACTTTTGGCTGGTAACTCCCATCCAGAACTGGCTGAACAGATTTCCAAGAGATTAGGAATTCCTTTGTCTAAAGTTGGTGTTTACCAATATTCTAACAAGGAAACTTCAGTTACCATTGGTGAAAGTATCAGAGACGAAGATGTATACATCATCCAAACTGGTATTGGTGAACAAGAAATAAATGATTTCTTGATGGAATTGTTAATTTTAATTCACGCTTGTAAAACTGCATCTGCTAGAAGAATCACTGCGATTATTCCAAATTTCCCATATGCTAGACAGGATAAGAAGGATAAATCTCGTGCACCAATTACTGCTAAATTAGTTGCTAACCTTTTACAAACAGCCGGCTGTGAAAATGTTGTTACAATGGATCTACATGCCTCTCAAATCCAAGGTTTCTTCCGTATCCCAGTGAATAACCTATATGCTGAGCCAAGTGTATTACACTACATAAGGACAAAAACTGATCTTAAAAATGCTATCCTAGTGTCACCAGATGCTGGTGGTGCTAAGAGAGTGGCTTCTTTGGCTGATAAATTGGATCTAAATTTTGCTCTTATCCACAAAGAAAGACAAAAGGCAAATGAAGTTTCTAAGATGGTCCTAGTCGGTGATGTTACGGATAAAACATGTTTGATCGTTGACGATATGGCTGATACCTGTGGTACATTAGTGAAAGCATGTGATACTCTTCTAGAACATGGTGCTAGAGAAGTTATTGCTATTGTTACTCATGGTATCTTCTCCGGTTCTGCCAAGGAAAGATTAAAGAACAGTAAATTGGCCAGAATTGTTTGCACCAATACAGTTCCTGTTGAAGTAGATCTTCCAATAATTGATCAAATTGATGTCAGTCCGACCTTAGCAGAGTCTATTAGAAGATTGCACAACGGTGAATCCATCTCATACTTATTTACGCACGCTCCATCTGAATAAATAATGCGTTTGTAGTCTTTTGTACATTATATATTTTAATTTCATTTTGGTATTGCTCAAATATTTACCTTTTATAAAAGCCAATAATGGATAAATTAATAGCGACAACCAAAATAAACTCTTTCGGTGCACATAGAACTCAGCTGATTCCTATACTTCCTCAAAATTTCTTTGCGATATGTCTTCGTTCTTATATTGTCATATATATAATGTATGTATAATTGCATAAAATAAGTAATATGCGACATGAAGGAGCCAGTTTAATCTGTTCAAGAGATATGTCCCCTAATAAAGCAATAGAGTCAAAATATTTCAGCTCTTAATGAAACTTAAAATTTTAGATCTTCGTTTCGATTTATTAGTGGAACTATTACTCTTTTTAGTTCTTTCTTTCACTTTACTTCCAGTTCCATGGTCATCCCTTGGGCTATTTCCCCTATTCATTAAATGCTGTTGTTGCTGTAGTCGAATTTTCTCTCTACGTTTAGTTTCTCGTACCAAATCGTCATATTTTATTAGCTGAGAAACATTCTCTTCAGAGTTATTGCTATCTGAACCATTGGATATAGGGAGTTCAATATTTGGGTTTGATGAACTAACGTCTCTATTTATATCGGATTTGATTTCCTGATAAAATAGGACGTACGCGGTACTTTGATCTTTAGAGTCACCAGTAAATCTAAGAACAGTAGCTTCATCTACCGATTCAACTGTTTCATCATCAAAGAGTAACCATCCAAATAATTTACTCTTACATAAGGAGACGTAATGGCCATGCTGAGGGCTCCCACCAAGATGAATAACAACTCCAGTTAATTCGTATTCCTTTGAAATTTCAGAATTAAAAGTCGATTCAACTGAGAGTTTTGCAGGGTATGAAATTTTATTAAATAACTTAACGTTTGCATTTTGTTCTTCAACGTATTTAAATCTCTTTAAATTAATAGCCAATGTAGTTGGTAGCTTCTTTAATCCAATTAACCTTTCGGCTTCTTGAAGTCCATAACATCGATTACAATAAAATTTATTGGACCCATTCAGAATTTCCCTTTGATGATAATGACGTAAAATCTCTTGGATGTCTATACTTTCGTTGTCCTTAATCTCTATTGGGAAGTCAAGGAATGGCTCTTCACTCGCAGTTACTGTATCACACGTCAGACATTTAGATCTATTACTTAGAGTTCCTTGAAATTGCTCAATCACTGTATTTTTAATATTCGATGGCACGCTACTTGCTTGATAACTTAGATATTCATTAAGATCATTTAACAAGAAATTCAAAAATTCATGAGCGTCCTGTTGCATCGAAGAGTTAAACAAAACGTTATTTCTTTTAAGAGTTTTAACGAATTTTGTTGGTGACACAACACCTGTTAGATTTTCATTTTCATTGATACATTCAAAAATATCTTTTAAAGTGTTATAAAGGTTGGGCTTGGCTGACACATTAATCATATGATCAATATGAAGAACTGGTCCCTTAATCAATGCGGTTTTCTTTCTTTGTTCACTTGAGTAAGGTAAATTTTGGTCTTTATTTAATAATGCAAAATCTGTTCTTTTACTAGAATTCAACGTGGGACTTGTAGGTGCAGAACGAGACTTTGTTGATCTACCAATCTTATCATAAATTTTGTTATTTTTTTCCCTTCTACCAACAATAATTGTCTTACAACCATCATGTAATTTTTCAGTCATTGAATCAGACGACATAATGACAGTATGTATTGGAACTGGTTTCCCATTATTTGTTTGTTGTTTATCGTCTTTCTTCCTTGATGAAAATGATGCTGTGTCAAGTAATAGGTTATTTGATAATCCGGCCTCTGAACCATATTTACTTAATGTTTGTTTAAATGATGTTTTCTTATGTGAATCTTTTTCTTTCAATTTTGTACTTGACATTTCATTATCTGGTTGATCTAGTTGTGCCTCTGAATCATTATAATAAATTTCATCACCACTTAATTTCGAACTATTATTAGAAGAATTATTACTATTATTATTGGTAGTACTTCCTGGGGGTTCGAAACTTTCTCTTGTGAATATTCTTGGTGTATTACCAACAGTTTTAAATTTCCTTCTTCTTTCAATACCTGGATCCTTCATTGGGTATTTCAAAATGATATCCCTTATATTATCTAAATGATACAGGCATTGTAATACCGAATTACAATAACATGTATTACCGAAGTTCTCATATCCAAAAACTTTATTGGATCCATCACCAAATGGCAACAAATCAGTAGGAGTTGGAAACAATAACTCTCTTTCAATATCATTGACTTTTTTCGAATTTGTGCCATATTCATCTTCTTCATTTTCAGCAAACGTTTCTTTTGGTGTATCACTCCCAGGAGGTGTCACGCCAATATCACTAATTGTTCTACTATTGAAATCAGAATCTTGCTGGTGCTGATAATGATGATGATGGTGCTGATGATGATGGTGGTGGTTATTAAAATTATTACTCTTTTCAGGTAAAGTTGTATAATTACCATCATCACCATTAAAATTATTAATTACATTTTCATCTATAGTAGGTGGTTGTTGATCCATAGTTATATTTGTATCATTATAATGTGAATGTGAATGAGAAGACAGATGTGAAGATTTACTTGTATTATTAACCTCATTCAAGACATTTCTTGAAGTCTTTAAAGTTCTAGGTTTTGAATTGATCACATATGTAGATGTATGTTTATTTGTTGTTGTAAGATCAGCATTACTACTACTTCGACTTCTATTATGTGATGATATTTTCTTGGATATATTGTTGGTTCGGTCATCTTCCTTAGTCTTCTTCTTCTTTTTAAGCAATTCTTTCTCCTTTGATTTACTACTACTACTACTACTACTTCCAACCAACCGTTTCAACATTATTCATATAAATTAGAAATTAAATAGTAGGGTGTTCAAAAAAAAAAACAACCCAAAAAGGACTCGAAGGAAGTGTGTTTCTCTATAATCTGTATAAACGAATCAATCGAACGAGAGGATGGTAATGATACTAGTTCCAGCTAATATCAATGTATTTCTTTTTTGTCAAAAAAAGGTTCAATTATTTACTGCTTTATTCAAACTTCTTTAAATATTTATATCTAGATACTATGTTACACAGTAATCGAAGATTATATATTTGTCAAGTAACTTATGTATGCAAATAAATAAATAAAACAAGAGGAATAACTAAAGCATTGTTATTTAAACAATAAACATCTATCAAATCATCGTTATTAAATTAAAAGATAGAGGAAGGGGACGTGGTAGATTGTTATACGTTTACCTAAATAAAGAAATCATTCAACTTTTGTTTATATGCCGGCTCTTACCTTAACCTCCCACAGGATTACACTATTATCAAGTAAAGGAAAAAATAACCTATCAAAGAAAGATATCACCCTTAATGCTTACATTGTGAATGATGAGCCTATATTACTCACATACTATTTTCACTACCCCATTTTCTCATACAAAATCAATAAACAGACTTCAGTTTTACTGTTTTGATTGCACAAGTGACAATAGATTCTGGGGGGTTGGATGGTGGGCTTGAATAATACCTGTGAGAGAATTATTATTAAACTGCGAATGAAGAAAGAAAAGGGGGGAGGAAGAGACGGGAACGGAGACGGATAGCTTCAAGATCACTGTGTACGAGGAAGGGACGGACTTTGCAGTTTTCCTAAATTTGCAAGTGTATTCTCATCGCTGCGGTGTTTCGTTATGTGGCGAAACAAACAAACAGATACATTTGACGGGATGAGCGTTTGATTAAATAATATGCGTAAACAAGCAGAAAAGGTTGCTGTGGGTGGATTTGACTGTCCGTTGAAAATTTGTATCTTTTGTTCCGCTGGCGGGATAAAGAAATTTCGTAATTCGGCTTCTTACCTCTACAGATATATGGTTAATAAGTGGGGTGGGACAAGGTACGGTGGGGACGGGGTAATATTTGGGGGGGGGGAGAGGACAAAGGCACAGAGAAGATCATGGTCCTAAAAGAAATGAGATGATTAATTGATCATTGATACTTAATATATCTAAACCTAACGCTACACACATTCACATATATACTGTAGTATTTATTACAAAGAAGGTTGGTCGGACGGTCGGTTGGTGCTCTTTAAATGAAGAACAATGGATGCAATTTAAAATTTCTTTTTCGATTATTTTTATTTTTTATTTCAATTATTCATCTTCTTCTCTTGGATCACCAACACCGTCCTCATAAATTGCAAATACACAATCAGCTTCAGGTAAACATGGCGAATCAACAACTTTACAAATTCTTTGGCAACCTTTACCTTTCTTAAATCCAAGTCTTGTAGTAGAAGAATGCGCCATAATATTACCACCAATTGGTTTTTTAGGATCTGGATTAAACATAGCTGCACCATCAACTTGTGCAACAACTTGATTAGTAACCACTACAGCAACACCGAATTGATCGGCTAATCTTTGTAAAGCACGCATAAATTTAGCTAAATGCATTTGTCTTGCACTTAATTCACCTCTACCTGAAAAATCAGTTCTATATAATGCCATTACAGAATCGACAACAATTAAAGAAAACCTCGATTCACTCATCATTTGAGCAGCGGCATCTAACAATTTCAATTGATGATCTGCATTATAAGCTCTTGCATATGCAACATTATTTAATGCATCATCTGGATCTAAACCAAATCTTTGTGCAATAGAAACCAATCTAATAGGTCTAAATGTACCTTCAGTATCAATATATAAACATTTCCCTTCACCACCACCAATATCTAATGGAATTTGACATGTAACAGCCAGAGTATGACATAATTGAGATTTACCTGTTCTAAATTCACCAAATAATTCAGTGACTGACCCAGTCTCTACACCACCACCAAGTAAAGTGTCTAAATTTTTTGAACCTGTAGTTAAACAAATCATTTCTGATCTTCTTGAATGGAAATCTGCTGCGGTCACAAATCCCATAGGTACTAACCTCGAGGCTTCATTTAATAATTTATCAGCTTTTGCTTCGGAAATACCTTTAATCTCCAACAAAGCCTTTTTTGGTGCATATGCAACAGCTTCAACAGTATGTAAACCATCTTCTCTTAATTTTTTTATATCAGCAGGGGTAATACCATTCACTTGTAATTTTTCTATTGGAACAAATGAAGCCAAGGCTAGATCATTCTCGGCATCATATTCACCTTCTCCATCTTCTTCTTGTTCTACTTGAGTTGCATTTGTTGCAGTTTGATTTTGAGATCCTACTGGTATAAAACCAGGAGCACCCATTATCTCTCCATTTTGTGATCCCTCAACAGGTGCAGTGGACATTAATGAATGGGCAGAATGTTCTAACTGTGAGTTATCGATTATAGGTTCTTCTACTTGTGACATTTAGCTATGTGTATTATAAGTAATCTTTCGTATTAGTTCTTTTGATTATCTTAGATAAAATCTCTCTCTCTCTCTATATATATATATATGTAAGGGAATATGCAACACACACAATAGAAATAAATTTATTCAGGAGAAATAAGTTCTTTTCGGGGGTATTGAAAACTATATGTATATATATATATGCTGTAGTTGCTTCTAAACTAGAGATTTAAGTTCACTTCCTCCCTTAGCTTCAAAGTATTTATAATTTAACCAATACATATTCTATGAACTCTTTAACTTATTACAGAGTAAAGATCAAAATTTTCTCTTCCTTTGCTTAAAAGAAAATCAATGCAAAGTGGCAAAGGAGACCGAAATGTAAACAAACGATTCACGATAACACCAAAATTGTTATTTATTTTTTTTAGGATCAAATTACAAATAAATAGGCGTACAAATCAATGCAAAAATGAAATTAATAAGAAACAAAAAGAAGGAGACGCGTTATTTTAACCTAAATAATACAGAGAAAATACAGTACAAAATCCAACTATTCACACATTTATTATTGAACAGAATTATTAAATAGAAGACTGATCTAGGATTTTACCCAATGAGGAAACGTAATGACGTTCAGATCAAGTTCAGCAATGTATGGGTTTCCTCAATAGTTCGTCCTGGAATATCCGAACCAGAATAAGTAAATTACAGGATTGAAAGCTCTACTCAATCGTTTCATACACACATATATATACATGCCATTATTTGGTTGCTATGCGTGATGTTCATTCTACAAATTATATGGTTACTCTAGAATAAACGAAACAACATATTTTCGTTGAGTCTATGCAAATAAATACATATTGTGAGTCTATGAATGTAGTACTAATCGATTCATAATTGGTGAAAATAATGTGATTGGGCAGTTATTTAACTGCATTGTCGTATATAGTTACAAAAATTGAATTGTGTGTCACGTGGTTAGACATTTTTTGACAAAATATATCGTGTTTGACGAAGTTCAGGTGGCAAAAATATATAATACTACTATGTAGAAGCTTCTAATAGCCTTTTTTTCTCGTAATTAAGCCCTTGACCTCATATTTTTTTCTTTTTTAACTCCAGTTTGGATAATAATACAAGTATAAAGAAAGTTTAGAAGCTTAAGCTGGGATTCCCTAAATTGAAACACTTCTAACATATTAATCATAAAGTGATTAACATTTATCGAGTACGAAATTTGTCACTATAAGGTTTTAGGCTAATATTGAAATAACCTTTTTTTATTTTATTTTACTTTACCTTTCCTTAATTTAATTTATTCAATATATCAAAACAAGTAAAAAAATGTCTGACCCAAGTTCAATTAACGGTGGTATTGTAGTAGCAATGGCTGGTAAAGATTGTGTTGCCATTGCTTGTGATCTACGTTTAGGTAGTCAATCACTCGGTGTCGCTAACAATTTTGAGAAAATATTCAATTATGGTCATGTATTCATGGGTGTTACAGGTTTAGCCTCCGATGTTACCACTTTAAGTGAAATATTCCGTTACAAGACAAATTTATACAAATTGAAAGAAGATAGACCTATTGAACCTGAAACATTCACACAACTGGTATCGAGTTCGTTATATGAAAAAAGATTTGGTCCATATTTCGTAGGTCCTGTAGTTGCTGGGATTAATTCCAAATCTGGTAAACCATTTATTGCAGGTTTCGATTTAATTGGCTGTATTGATGAAGCAAAGGACTTTATTGTCAGTGGGACTGCATCTGATCAATTGTTCGGTATGTGCGAATCACTATACGAACCAAACTTAGAAGCTGATGACCTTTTTGAAACTATAAGTCAGGCTCTTTTAAATGCTGCTGATCGTGACGCTTTGTCCGGTTGGGGTGCAGTAGTATATATTATCAAGAAGGATAAAGTGATAAAGAGGAACCTAAGGATGAGACAGGATTGATCCAATCTGCTCATATTATACATCTTTTCGGAAGGATATATATACATACATATATAAAACCAATTCATAATGTAAATCTACTTTTTATGTCATTTATTTGTCTTTGCTTATTATGTATATGTTTACACAACGATTAATTCTATGCATTATAATGAATTTAATTTACTTCTTTGTCTTTACCTTTTATCGAGGAGAGATATCTTTACTTTTAGTTGAACCCTAATTTTTCATTTTTTTAACAGCTCTCGAACAATTTTACATGCTACAACTAATATACTACTGAAGATGAATATAAACAACAACCTTACACTAAGCATCTACGAAGTACTTAAATTAATATAGCCATTTCTTCTATGTCTGGAAATAACACTGATGTTGTGATCAATGAGTCTAATAGATCTCTCTGCAATGTCAGATCGAACAGACCGACTGAACAAATGATTCGGTTCTTTGCAGGGACTGCACTTACTTTACTTTGTTCAAGAATGATACATAGAACAATGAATAATTTGAAATGTATGTTTTACCGCAATATTCTTTGCTAATTGTTTTACACTCCATTCTTCTCTTTATACTCATTTTTTTTTACTAACAACATAACTTTTTATTGTAAATTTAGATAAACCATCAATATTCCACTCTAATAACAACCCTCCAAAGCATATCTATCAAGGTGAAGCAACTAAAGCTCTTGTACTATCATCTGGTCTCTCTGTAGGATTGTTCTCCATGTTTATCTTTGGTGGATGTTGGATCTATGACATATCAACTTTAAAGGAATTTACCGACAGTGTATCAGCCGTATTTAAGAGGCATGGTCTTGGAAGTCAAATAGATGAAACAGATGAAAACAATGAATTATTTGATAACATATCACAATTATTGGACGATGTGGATGAATGACTCTCTACTCTCCCAGAATTTCTTTCCCATTCACTTACATATTCTGTACATAACTGCCTACTATGAAATTGGGCAAATTTTTGTAAAAATCTATATTGCGACTGTATACACTATCTTATAAATTATTCATCAAATCTTCGACTATTGGCCATTCCTCCCTTTAAAGTATTTATAGTGGTTCATTAAAACATTGCTATGTTTATCTTATTTTAATTAGCGATCCGAATACTTTTTGGTCTAAGTTAAGCGAAATTTAGGCGTATTAAAATATAGATCCAATATTAAAGGTCAATATATTCATTAGTAAAGGAGAAGAATAAGCAATAGAAAAAGTAGTATAGTATTTTGAAACCGTTGACGGTTTATATAAATTACCACCATCTTTTCTCGATTTAAGATGGAATCATCTAATCAAACACTCAGTCCTCAAATTACTCTCAATTCTAAAGAATTTCGTAATGATACATCGCCGACCTCAATGCCAAGTAGGTTGAGAACTGGGAGTATGTCCAAGAAAGAAAAACAAAACTTAGTATTGTCTACATCATTTACATCTACCAGAAAAATAGACGATATCCATTCGTCTCCTTCTAGTCCACTCCAATCAAGACGAACCGCAAATAACGTTAGTAGAATGTTGGCAAACGTTAAATCAGAAATAAACCGTCTGACTGAAGAACTTAAAAGGATACAGAGGAAAAAAGAAGATGCAGAAAAATTAAGAGATACAACTGGCAGTAATATATACAGTGGGACATATTCCACGGAGCATTTACAAAAGCATTCTATACGTATTAAAACGAATACCCAAATCCGAGAATTTGATAAAACAATAAAGAAACTAGAAAATGAGATTCAAACTTTGACAGAAAAGTACGAATCTGCGAAACGATTACAAACCATAGAAAAAATATCGAACTCTAGCGAATCAGTGGCAGTAGGCAATATCGAAGAGTTGAATAGTAGTAACAAACAGATAGATGATGACTACCGAAGAGAACCAATCAAAAACACATTTCATAACTACGGGAATACATCCATAAGTGCAGATTCGACAATATCTACATTGGAAACTGAAAGTCGATCAAGATCACGTACACCAATTGATGGTACAATAGAAAATGGAACGTGGAGGATTAGTGATTATATGCAGAGCCTAAACGACCCTTCGATTTCTTCTGATTATGTCCTTCAACAGTCGAACAAGTTAGTTGACTTATTGAAAGAGTTTCCTGTGCTTCGACAAGACTTAGTTTTGACCTCATTTTTGAACTCCATCCAAGATCTTTTATTACGTGACGATAAAATAATATCATCAGCAGCATACAGAATATGCCGTTATTTGGTTGATGGCGACGAATTTATACATGATCTTTTTAAGAGACACTTAGATATATTTCTCATTATGTCTCTGGCTAAGGATAACAACAATATTATAGAACGAGAACAAACCATAAAGCTGATTCGTTTACTAGCCGAATATAAAACGGGAATAACGAAAGGTATAGTCCAAGCTGTGATCAGTTGTGTAGAGAAGTTAGATGATAATATAAGAACAGTAGCAATTGAGACCCTACTAGAACTTTGTTTTGAACACCCTCAGTTGGTAAACGAATGTGGAGGTATGCGAGTACTAGAGGGCCTCTTAAAGGATTATTCATTATTCTCTATGGCCTCACTAATATTAGACACCATCCTAGAGCTAATGGCGACACATAGCACTAGAAAGTATTTTCTAGATGATTTTAACATATCTGTGCTGGCAACAGTTTTTTCTGATTTTAATGGTAAAGGGTCTATCAACACTGAAAAACTTCAAAATTCTTCGGCGTTAATATCTAGAGCGTTCAAAAATGACAATGGTGTAATGTTATTTTCTGTAGATAATTTTAAACCGATTAAAGAACTTTTGGCGTTTATTGAGGTTCCTGTATGTGCGCAGTACTTGGTGGACATATTTATGGATGTTTTACATATCAAATATCATAGCAAACAAAAGGGCAAAAAATACGCTGGTCATATTGAACCCTCCAATTTCTTGCATGAATCATCATCATTTAATCAGAGACTGGTTTTAATAGTATCCATTCTAGATAAATGTAATTTCATAGAATTGTTATCTCGTTTGATTGATATGCCAAAAGAAGGTAAACTAAAGGAGAAATTGGTTAAAAAGGCTAGATATTTACTTGCTGAGTATACTAACATGAAGAATAATTTAATTCGAGATGACAATTACTCTGCTTATAAAAGCTGCGCCAAGAACAATTCTACAGTGTTTCAAAAATCATATAAATTCCAGAAGATTATTCAAGATATGAATAGAGGTAGGAATACCTTGGGAGTTCGACATATAGATTATAACGAACATTTAAGAAAAAATTCAAAAATGGTCAAAGATGCACTGCTAGTAGACGACGGTGATGACCTCATATTTAGGAAGATGGTTTATGATACTAAGGTCCTACAAACAAAAGATTTCACCCTATGGAATTGGAATATCATTCAAGAATTACTTGAAGGTCCACTAAGGCAACCAAAACAACTTGAAGAATTAGTGAGATCAACTAAGTTTATCAGGAGACTTTTAGTCTTTTACAGACCATTAAGGCTCAGATTTTCTGATGTCAACCAAGGTTCTAGACTTGCACAAAAATATATTCAGGTTGGCTGTTCTTTTTTCAAAATGTTAACTACAAATACAGAGGGTATGAAAATATTAGTAGATGATACCAAAATTATCCCACAGTTGGCATCATTGGTTTTTAAAGCAATTGAAGAAGGTTCATCCTCAAACATTTTCAATGAGAACTCTCTAAAAGTAAAAATCATACCTGGTTACTTCAAGTTTATTGGTGTTCTCACCCAATCATCAAATGGTATTAGCATATTAATAAGATGGAATTTTTTTACTGTTATTTATAAGATGTTCCAGTTCGATTCTCGTATTGGATTGAAATTTTTATTACTTACCCTTCCAGAGCTAGACTTAAAACACTCTTCTCATTGTAGAAATATCATGGGAAGGGCACTTGTTGTGTCTAATGAAAATGTCAGAATGAGAGCAACAAAACTGTTAGGTGATCATCTGAAGGAGAGCTTACATATGCACAATGAAAACACTATTCTTACAGAAACAAATATGAATCTTGAACGGTACATGTTCGAAATGATAACAAGACAATTATATGACTTAAGTCCTAATGTTGTTGCAATTGCGGACCAAGCACTCTACGAATATATCGCGGAAGGTGATAAATCACAAGAATTAAGCACTTCTCTTAGAACAATTTTAAACCAGATGGTATTTATTAGTTCTCCCATACTGTTTGAATTATTAAGTAGACCGTATGGGTTCCATCTTTTAAATGAAATATGTTTTATTGAAAGCCAGCGGAAATCGTGGTTAGCAACCAAGAATAAAGAATATGTTGATATTGTAGAGCAATTCTTAAGAAATACTGTATATATACCTCAAAATGATGACATAGACAGCAGTTTCATTAGCACAGTAAATCGTTTACCGTTACATTTTTACGAAAGTCTATCAAGAACAGAAGATGGTATAACATTATTGAGTCAAAGCGGTGACCTTGTTAAATTTATGAATGTGATTAAAAAATATGTGACAGAAGGAATGAAAAATGAAAATCCATCTGACATTCTAGATTTGAAATCAGCCATGTGGTGTTGTGGATTCATTGGATCTACAGAATTAGGTATTGGTTTACTGGATAATTATTCTCTTGTTGATGATATTTTACAGATATCATATGGTGCAAGCGTCACAAAAGTTAGGTTTACAGCATTCTATGCTCTTGGTTTAATTAGTTCTACAAAAGAAGGATGTGAAATATTAGATGAAATGGGTTGGAACTGTACAGTTGATATCCAATATCATCCTGTTGGTATCACATTACCAAATAGATTGGATAAGTTCTTGTCGTATAACGAGAAAGAATGGATAATTGAAAAGGAATATAAGAATGAAATGATAAAATTCAATAAAGTGAGTGGTGAAATACTTGGTGAGATTATTCCTGTAAAGATTGATTTAAATCATTTACTTTCGGAAAAGAATATCATCGAGAATACGAACAATGAAACTGATCGAATTACTCGTTTATCATTCTCTGAACAAAATGCCAAATCAACCGAAGCACTTATAGCTGATGTTAACAAAGAGACAAAATTTTTAAGAAGTCGTGCCAACACAATATCAAGTTTGTTATCAAATAGTCTTGATGGTAGCATAACTGAGGAGATCATGGAATCTATTAGTAAATTAGGGAACCATATTTTATCAAATGCAGCCATCAAGAACATTACTGACATTAATAATAAATATGGCCCATCATTATTTGAAAGAGAAATAATGGTTACAAAAGTGCTAGATATGTTAGATAAGTTTAGGTTTAAACCGCAAGTCCGGAAATTCCTTTGCGAGCTATTTATAAATGTTCGTGGATTGGAGAATATAATTAGACATGATAGAAAGTCACAGATCAAGCCCGATGATAACAATAAAAGAAGTGAACTGACCAATTCCATTTCAATGCCATCATCGCCATTATCCAATTGATAGGTATGCATGAAATATTATTATAATTATAGTTATATATATATATATATATATTAAAGAGATAATGATAATTGAACTTT